ACCATTATACACAGACACTTGATACAAACTTACGATACATAATCATAGTATTTTTACGTAATATATGGTGAAATAAGTTTCATTCAGGTACCATTAATCTTTTTTATTTATTAGTGGCAGTCTGTAGAGTAAAGATTATCTAAATGGACAGAAAGTCCACTGATAGGGTTGGTATAAATTTGTCTTAGGAGCCACATCATCTAGACTGGCTGTCTATCTTCAGTTTGGAGTTTGACAATTTTAGATACAAATATATAGGTATCAAATTCTATATATGTTTGTGCTCTTTTAGATAGTAATGTTTAAGAAAGCATTGATCTCCTGTGATGTATGTGGCAGAGCTTTACAGCCAACTGTCTTTGCTAGCGCTTAACGGTGAGCATGCCCAACAAAACACTGGTTTTAAAGACCATGAAATGTGTGCTGAATAGTTTTATCTAGATTACCTACACATTTTGATGTCTTATGTCGATAACACCTTTGTTGGAACTGAAATAAACTGTTCATTATCGACTTCAAGTGGAATGGTGATATTGACAGCAAGTCACCGCCGTTTCCATGCCAACAAGAATGGTAACACGACGGATGTCATCAGATTACAAGGCATTCTCATGGAATAGTAAATATACCAATTCATATTTACAATCATCATTAAATTAAGCTTATTATATCTTGTCCATTATACCATTAACTCAATTACGACATATTTACTTCCTGTAATGCAAGTACATTGATGTGATAGAAGATTTGTGATATACACTTTACTTATATTATCATTGCTGGCGGAGCTACAAATAGTTCGTCCGCACGTCTTATTTCATCCATGTCACAATAATGGTAATGAAATATGTGGAGAGTCTACAAGTCCTTACCAATAGGTGAAGACTTTGGATGTAAATGTCTACATGTGATATAGATCCAATGAAGAATCAATGTGCAGATGGAGAATTATTATTTGACAATACAAGCTAGACATTGGAAGTCTTGAGCAGGATTCTATGGCAAAGTGATGATAATATAGATGTACTATTCATGGGGTCATACAGAAGTCAGGATTATCAGACCAAGATATAAGATATCAAAATCCGTCAAAGTCAAAGAAACATTGCTATAATACAATGGAATCAATTACTGGTGCTGATGAAGAAAACGAACAGTCAATCAATGGATGTTATAATTACTTTTAACAATGGAGGAAATCAAATCATGCTGGTGGTATACCGGTTTATCTAAAATATTATATTTCTACGAAAAGCGATCAGGCATGGAGACAGCTACCATTGAATGTCTTTGGTTAAATATTGTGTTGTACTCTGTTTAGGAAAAAAATGTTAACTGGTACTTTTTATCAGCCTCCAAACTTCCCTGTAATCACAATTTCGCACTCTTTAGAGGTATAATACAGGTATTTCTGGCATTGTAATAACCGGCGATTTTAATGTAAATATCCTAGTAGTCCGCCTCTCATCCCTTCTACTTGATATACATGTTTATTTAATCTATCTCAGCATGTTAAATCGCCACCTTTTTGTACAGAAGCATCTGAGTTATTGTTATAGTCTGCACTAGTAGTGATAACCTTATTAGTAAATGTTATGTTAGAGAAAGCTTTCTCGACCAACCTGTTAGATATCAATGTCCAGTTTAATGTTCTTTTTTATATTCCCAAGCCAGTGCTTCAGATACTTTAAGCGAAAAGTTTGGCTTTATGACACAGGAAATTATAATTTATTCAGAAGAAAACTGAGTTCATCTATCTTAAATTTGTTACGTGATTTAGATGATATTAATGATGCTGTCTGATTTCTTAGATAACTTGATTGTTACTGCCAAAACTTGTATCCCGAATAAGGGAATCACCATCAGATCTAATGAACCCCCTTTTTAATTTAACGAAATAAGACGGTAAATTTGGAAATAAAAACGTGCCTTTAACAAAGAGGCCAACAGGACTTAATGGTCATTTGACTATAAAGACCTATATTATAAAGAGGCCAATTAGGCCTAAAATGCAAAAACTACTCTATAACTAACAAAGAAGACATTCTTGCTTCATAAAACATCATATTCTTAATACACACAAATGTCATTACTCTGGACCTATTGCTTGGTGAAAAAGATATTTTAAAATCCCAGCTTACTTGACCCGAGAGAATTTGAATACAGGTCAAGGCACTTGTACACAGTTTCTGGGTGTGACTATGGATGATATTTTTGTTCATTAGATTACACCATTATAAAGGTTTTAATTAAAATTTAAAAAATAAATCCTTGCTATAATTTGTCTCGTCTTATCATGTCCAAGTGGACAATGTGGTGTTTTATTTTTTTTTACAATGATATTTTAGCTTTATTTTGTAGAGTACTATTTAGGCAGTCTCAAATCTTTGTTTACGAAACAAAAACTAGCTTTACAGGAAGTGAAATTTTCATAGTGTTTACATGTGGTCATGTTGTGAAGGATTTCCAAGTTGGATTTTGCTGGAATGTGAATAGTTTGTTACCATGACATTGTTGTTGATTTTAAGATAGGTGTTCAGAAATAAATTTCTTCTATAAAGTTGTAGTGTAAGGTAGGAATTAGCAGTATTTTGGCATTTTTAGGATTTTTTGAGTTGGTAACCATGGCAATCAAATGTCAGAAATCAGAGGAAATTTTAGGTTTACATAAATTTTACCTCTCTATCATTAATGTAATTGTGAAGTAGTTTATAAATATGTATACATGTAAGGATGTATTTAACATAACTAAACTTCAATACCTGTATATCTCAAACATGACCAATAATTTCAGGAAAAATGCAAACAAACTCATATTTGACACCTGCTACAGTCCCAATATCAGCACCCTGGACCTTTTGGTTATTGAGAAGTTGTTTTAAGATTTCAACAGATTTGACCCCTGTGACCTTGAAAGTGGGTCAATGTCATTCATTTTAACAAAACTGGTAGCCCTTCACCCAGCATGCTACAGGCCAAATATCAGCACTCTGGGCCATTTGGTTATTAAGAAGTCATTTGAATGAAAAGTTGACAACGGAGGAGACACAATGGCTAAAGGTCATCCTGACCCTTTGGGTCAAATGTACCATTACTGAAGCTCACTGGATGAAGTTTCGTCGACTACAAAACAAATGTGTTAACACCATCAAGCACGCAATTAACATATTTCTCGTTTATGTGGCAAACTCCACAAACCAAACAATATCAGTGCTAAACAATGGTTAAAAGCTGTCAAGTAACTACTGCCCAACTCACTAACACTGAAAACCAATGTGATAATTCTTTATCCAATATAAACAGCTAATGAAGTCTGATTACAGATTGTTCTAAGCCCATTAGTCCTAACTGGGTAAATCCTGGTCTTTTAAAGAATCAGTAAATATCATTTGTGTTTCCATAAATATCTTAAACAGGTCAGAATATTTATGGTTGTTTTAAATGCCTTAATTCCAACTGGTATATATCAACTTCAAACATAAGAAAGACTTTTTCACAACTTTGTGATGTGACAGGAAATGTCATTGCACAACAAGGAAGGCATCATCTAGATAATATGGTTTCCATAGAGCTTTTTCCCCTATTTGAATTGGGATATCCCTAAATCTCTCCCATTTCTTCTAGTGTTGCCATTGGACAATATGTTTACCCCAGTACATGAGAAACCATTTAATATGAGATGAAATAAGAGTTTTACATTTTCCTATGCCTTAAGCTGTATAAAGACACAGCTGATTGATTGTAATGTTATTATTTAGAAATGTCCAGTGCTTATATGCAAATTGCGTTTCACACAACAAAACATAATGATGAAATTTAGAAACAGAAGTCAATAAATAAACGTAAACACAGACTGAATACATATTATAAATAAGATTTATTATATAACATTATATTGTTGAAGACCAAGCCATAAATAATTTTTCTCCTTAGCACCAAATAAAAAAATTGTCAATTATAAAGATGGCACATCACACCAGGCGACCTATGTATTTACACCTTGGGTAGCGCTTCTGTAGGCTCTCCCATTGTACAAACATGTCATCTGCTACATAATACAGCAGTCTGGCTGACATGGACAGCGTCTCTACGCGACATATACTTTCTACATAAATAATCTGTGTCCTCCCAAGAGTGAAAATCTGAAGAAAAAACATCAAATTTACATTTAAAATGGCAGCAGGGGTGAATGAAACTAAAACGTTTTTCATGAAACATACGTTTTTGTAATAAATACTGTTTACTTGATGAAAAGTTAATGTATTTCTACAAAAATAAAAAAAAAAGTCATACTGTATGTTGTTAAGGTAAGTCTATTATGTAACATAAAACAATCTTAGTGAGTATGTTGAACATATTCTAATGTACTTGCATTTACTTCTTTTACTTTCTTAAGGTCAGTTCATAACTTCTGACTCAGAACAGGGAGATGAACTTATCATAAGAAAATGAAATAACATATCTACTGAAATGGATGTGGGCTGGCTTTTATGAAGTTTGAATTCTGAACTCTTGGTTATTGCATCCAAAATTTCAAATGAATCTGTATACGAATACAAACAAAAAATGTCTGGTGTTACCTTTAGCACAAAGCCAGCAATACAGATAGGTATACACGTCCCTGGACCATTACAAAGAATCTGAAATTAAACACTTTTGTTTAGATTAATTTTGTAGTGGTGTGATAATGAAAATCTATTTTAGTTCCATGAATAACGGTGGACTCAACAAAACGAATACCAGATAACATCATCGAGGACTGGTGACATTCTGTTGGTGTTTGGAATCAGATAAAAAGAAAAAAATCTGCTGACAACAATGGGAAACGGAAGTAATGAGAATCTATTTGTCCTGGCTGAACCTGTCTGTTCTGTATATACTGAAATCAATTATTTCCTGATATTTTAATGCATATATATGAGAGAACGTTATGTTACATGGTATATTGCCAGGTGCAATATATAAAGAATACATGGTCATTGATTTAAAATATAAACTCTATTTTTGCGAGAGTAAAACAAAGTAAAAGACATGAGCCACTTTTGTCGTCTTTCTGTCCTAAGCAAAAATGCAGCTTATATCTTAAGACACTTACAATGTATTCTATTTATCCTGCAATGTTGATTGACATTTCAGACTATCAAAACATCAGCAGTTTTCTGTTCAATCTTTGTTTACCTGACATTAACATTATGCTGCAAAATAATTGCTCTGTGTGGAAATATAATTCAAAACATCAAAATATGTGAAATTAAGTCAATAAGAACAAATCAAGGACAAGTCGTAAATTATCAAAATCCATGAAAATAACACCAAAATGAGTACCAGGTAAGTAAATGTGTATTCAAAATATTCATTTGAGTTATACATGTTGTCATATGGCAATCCTTTGGAAGGAAATCTATTTTTTTGAAAAGCTGTAAAAAATACATCTTTGATTTAAAATTGATTAAAATAAAACACAAAAGTTTTTAATTTACCTTTCAAAAATCTGATTTAATGATGTATCATGTCTATTGAAGGTTTGACAACATTCAGGTAAGTTCATAAGGAAAGAAATACAGTTGTCGAAAAGTTGGCATAGTAGACTAAATCACTTGAAACTTGATAAAGTTTTGCCCATTAAGGTTTTCTTTCTAGGGTACACTATTCAAACTCATTGATGGTAACACAAACTGCCAATGCAAAATGTTCAAAGAATAGTGAAAAAATTCAAGATCCTGAGCCCAGGACCTGTTTAAAGATTCTGTGAGCATCTCTTCTGACAAATCCATTTTGATTTCCTATAGATTGAATGTAAAGAATTAACCTTAAAAAATGCCATGACTATGACTGATGTATGTATATACCTTGGGAGGATGTGCCAATGAGCACTATTTGAATGCTTGCATGACAGGATGATTGTTTTGGTGGAAGATCAATTACAGGGGAAGGATTGCACATGGTGTTAAGACACCCAATGAAATTTCATGGACACCCCTTATGTAGATAAAGTTCCTCTGGTACAGCAAAATTTACTGGCATTACAGCCGGACCACGGCTGGCTGCGTGTAGGGAAGAGCTTACCATGATTATCTTGCAGCAAACAATATCCTCACCCTGAACTACTTATCATAAGATCAGGTATACTTACAATGTTTGGTCGGAGTCTAAACACCAGTGGAAAGGACACCAGTGTAGCCCTTAATGTAGAAAGAACAGTTGTTACCCAGGACTGCTTCACTTCACGACTACGTGGAATCTTGTGGATTTCATACTGAAATAAATTTTAAATACTGTTTTATTTATTGAAATCCCAGACTTTTGAATGACAAGGAGCTCTAAATGAAAATTTTTTTTTCACTTCGTCACCTTCTGACAACTCTCTTCAAACTACATCAATTCCTTTTCAATTTTGGCACAGATTTCATTTTTATTATGACAGAAATGAATAACATGGTGACTTTCATAATGTTATGGTGATGCACTAACAGTTAGTAGGCCATTTGTAATACATGTACATCTACAAAAACAGCAGATTGACAAGTATCAGTAAGTTGTCAGGAGTTAGTTATAGTTATCAACTAATCAGGAGAGAGTATAAAAAAAAGGGGCAGAAGATCCAAGAATGAAAGGATGATGTCAAACATTAGTGTACCTATAAAGATATCAGCACATTATTCAACAACCTATTCCCAGGAGTTGAACCAGCCTCAAAATTTTTGTGCCGAAAAATTTGCCAAACTTTATTCCCAGGAGTTAAACCAGCCTCAAAATTCTTGTGCTGAAAATTTTGCTAAACTCGATATTTTTTCGTCAAATGATAAATTTAGGAGCCAAGTAAAACTGGGTTAAAAACCATATTCAAATGACAGAGGCAATTGTTTAAATTAGACGAAATGTTTATACGATCTGTAATAAAGAAATTGCCTTCAGCTTCAGTATTCTTATTTTAATAAGGTCTTAAACATAATAGGAAATTTAAGAAAAAAAACATACCTGGTAGTGTTTTCATGTACATGTAATTCATATTTTGTGAAAAAAATCCTGAGTTGAAAATTTTGTAATAAAATAAGTTGAGTCCTGACCTGAGAATATATTTTATAGGGAATAAGAAAAGCAACTGCATTAAAGAAAAAATATCATAATACGAAGTATTGAGACCAACTTGGAAATTGCCAAGTTGGTCTCAATACTTTTTGAAAAGAATATATTTGGTACGTGATAATTGCACAGACTGAGATAGAGATCATGGTATTTCTGTTTCTTATGGAGATATGAAAAAGAGGTCCATGGGCCTTAGCGGTCATCTGACTACAATAACTTTCAACAGGGAGAAGGGTAATTTTTTCTACTTTGTATTTAATCTTATTAAGAAGCTGTTTTCCATGATGCAGATGGTAGTTTTGGTGAGAAATAGGTAACTGTAACAAGTGTTATCTAATTTTTGACAGTAAAGTTGGAGCTCAATCCAGGATCAAGATGAATATGGATCAAGGTGATTTCTTTTCACAAACTTTATTGGGCTTCATCCAAGGAACATATCATCCAAATAGCATGCCTTTTAGTACAGGAGAAGAAGTCATTTAAAGATTTGAACAAATCTGACTCCTGTACCATGAATATATGTCTAGATCATTTTGTTTTACAACTTTTGTTGGGCTGCATCCTAGGTACACATCAGCCAAATATTATGCATCTAGGCATTTTAGTTCACGAAAATAAGACATTTATATGTTTAAACAAGTTTGACCCCTGTGATCTTAAATATAAGTCAAGGCCATTTCTTTTTGCAAATTCCAAGTCATAAAGTCATGAAGTTCCCCTTCTTTTACCATTGTCTACCTGATAATCTTATCTACCTGTGCCTCTATGATGTAGTCAGTGTTTAGCACTGACAATTCTGACCAGAGCCGTTTGGTTCGCTAGTGAGCAGTGAAGCTCATTTTCTTACCAAAAATAATTCTAATAAATAAAGGTGATGAATCACAAAAGTTACAGAAGTCAATCAGAAAAGTATTTAGTATTTTGATGTCATCAAGTTAAAGATGATTTTCTTGATGTTTCAAACAGAAAGTGACTTACAATTTAGGATAGTATATCAGTTGTAAATAAACATGCATTTTCTTATACAAAAAATGAAAGTGTTAGTACAACTAATTTGAAAAAATTATACAGCTTTATAATGTTTTATAACAACAGCAAGTCTAGTTAACTTGAATTTCTTTGCTACAGCATTAAAAAGAGATAAAGGCAAATTCTTATCTCTCTGTATTATACATCTTCGATATATGTAGCACATTAAGCATAACCTTTATAAGTCAGTGTCAAAGGGCAATAGCATGTAGGAAGTTAAAAAGCTTGCAAATAAAACACAGGATAGAAGCTGATTACCATAGGTCTGATTTACAGTGTTAAACTTGTGTATGTGACATCAGAGATGTGAGCTACCCATATTGAGGTGTTCGATGCTGTGTCAAATGAGTACATTTCAAATAAATCATGACATTTAATACATAACAATTAATTTTCATGAGATGATTACAGTCATGACCTTTTTGACAAAGACCTGTATAAACAAAAGGATTGCTACGTTTAATGAAAAACACATGAACATCAGTGCCAATCCGATCCAGTATTATCATCAAAGACTGAAGTCTGTTGCAAGGTAATGTTTTATGTAACAAATTGAAATGTGTTGATATAATGAAATGTATGATAACAAATTTGAAATGAATAAAAAGTCTGACTTCTAATGCATAAGTTGTCTTGATTACGATTTCAATCAATATTCGGCAATTTTTCCGTTGACTACCTAATTTTAGTTGGTGGTCTAGAGAATAAAGTGCATGCACATTGTATCAGATTTTAACATTTACAGATTAAATGAAATTTAGTCCACGACATGTGGATCTAGTGGTTCACGTCATCTGGTGGTCAGTAATATTTGTAGTCCACAATAGATTGTCTTATAAATGTCAGTGTCCTCATAATGCACTGATCTGTCATGGACTGCATTATACCATGGACAGTTGTTAATCCCTACAGTTCCGATCACATGTGTTGCTATATATGAATTCAATAAATTGTTTTAATTAATTAACTATTGTGGGCAAATATAGTATCTATGTACAACTGGTAGAAACACCCACATGATGGAGGTGCTAAGATAATCAACAATATACCTGGCTGGGTATATACAGCCAGGGTAATTAATGTTACTGACACCTGGACAGGTACACATGTATTAGGTTTTCATAACTTAACAGGTCATTTTTGTAGAATTTCTTGGTGAGCTCAGAGCATCATTTCCCAAATTTCAATCAGTCCAGTAAAAATGAAATATAGTAAGTGCTCAAATTTTGAGTGAGTTCCACAAGAAAAGCATCAGCCCAGGAGTCAAATATTTGAGTCCCAATAATAACTGCTTCAGATTATAGTGATATGTAAAATATTGTGTCTGTAACAGTGATTCCTTCATACTAATTTATATTTTGAAGCTATTTCATTTAAATTTGTGTAAAAGTACCTCTTCAATATTTTTTTTAATAACAAGATTTATACAGATAGATTCTTTCAGAACAATTACATATACATAATACAAAGTCAGTGTGCCCTGAGCAATTTAACAATTTCATGAAAGGTAATGATAATTACCTCCACTTTACATATCTCAAAAAATTATTGAAATGGGGTCTTGATCTGATGCTTTCTATACTATACTATATTCTGATATGTACCACAGGGACTTGGCACAACATTTCTAGCCCACAGTCTATTTGATATGTATTATAGACTACCGGCTCATTTTCAATAAGTTTTTGGAAATAATCAGAGATCTTTTTTGTCACTAAAAAAAAAAAAAAAAACAACTCAATATTTTATCTCCAGGTTAATTTTTTAATTGCAAAATGTGATACCATCAATTGTCACTATATGGAGTGTGGGTTGGGAATTTGTGCCAAGTCTTTGTGACATGCACCATAAGATATGTCAGAACTTGCAATAAGAATGTGAAGTACAGAGACGACAACAGTTTAGGATTTTAATCAGACTGATGGTACAATTGACAAACTGGTTGTACTGGTTAGAGTATTTGGACCGATGCTTTATAAGCAGTAGCAGAAAAAAATAAGCCCAGCAATAAGATTAACAAATACGATTAGACTGTCTTGTAATAAGCCCATGATATTAACTTAAATACAATGTGTTAGGCTTACTACAAAATAAATAAAGTAAATATTCAAAGAACATGCAATAATTACTTATAAAATCATAGAATTTCATAATTGGAATTATTTTGTTAATTACAAAACAGCACTGCATTTCTATTTACAATTTACTTACATTTTTTGAATTGCCCTGACCTCTTTTTACTTCAAAGTCATGTACTTTTTCTTCACTCATGGTGTCTGTGTTGGCTATGACATAATACCGTGGTGTATAATGCTCACCTAAACCACTCATCAACGTAAGAATCTCAGTAGTGTGACCTCCTGGAACACAAATAATGACACGAAACATTTGAAACTTGTGAACAGAATAACACTTATGTATGATCATGAAATCATTAACAATGACATCACACAACTGTAGACCATTGGCACAACTGCTAATTGTCAAGGCAGGCATTTACAAAGCATAATAAACAGGATCCTTCAGAGATTTAGCATCCCCAATTATTTGGTTTTTGTTTCTTTTTTAATCCAGTTTTTCCCTTGTTTTCTTTTCTTTTGCAGTTTCCTCTGTTTTTGCTCTTAACTATACAATGCATAAAATCTGAAATTCCATTTGATAATTATCTTTCATTGCTAAATCCAAGATGGCTGCCTATCTGGCCATTTCGTTTTTCTAATCAGTCCCAAAATCAAACAGGCACAACTAGGGAACAAGGGAACAAACCAAATTTCAGAAAAACATATGTCCTTCTCAAGAAATAGTGATAACAAACTTTTATAGTCAAAATTCAAGCAGGCCATCTGTCAGTCATTTTGTTTTTCTGTCAAGCCACACCTTTTTACAACAGACAGTTTCCTCCAATGGACACTTCTAGGTCCTTCCTATGTATTTCACTTTGCATTGCCTCTTCAATGGACACCTCTTCAATGAGGACAACAGACATAGTTTTGCAATCCAAGATATAACAGGTCTCTCTGAATAGCAAACACCCGCAATTGGCAAATGTGTTTATTCAGTCAAAGTTATCTGTATGTATTGAAATATTCCTTGTAGCTTTTGCTACAAAGAAAATCTTAAGGATTGATATAACCTTTCTGACAGTACATATACTTGCATGTTACCTAACAAGACAATTTCAATGTTGGCCAATTTGCAGATATCTGCAAAACATTTTTCACTACATTTAGGATTAAAAGAAATTCTCAGAAAAACATCTTTGCATGTAATGATTTTTACTTCAATAATCTAGAATAATTGAGACCCAAATACCTGCATTTTTTCAGTTGTTTATTCATTACAGATGAACCAAATGTGTCTAATGAATCCATCAATCTAATTGGTTTTTTTAATCTTTATTTCCATCCTTCACATTTGTGGTATCAATGTACCAAGACTAGATAACTCTAAACACACTTGGAAAAAAATTAGTTAGAATCTTAGAATACAGGATTCATTTCCTGATCAGTCACAAAATAAAAAATGACTTCAGGGATAAACTTGAGATTGATCCATCCAGTACTGTTTAAGAAATAACAATAATAAGAATTGTTTACAGGCAGATGTCGGACAATCAATGCAATTTTAATAGCACCCTTCCCAACACTACATCAAATGAAATAATGAGCATCACAGGTTCTCAATATCAGATTTATTGTCTGACAATGTGTGACAATGGATGTGATTTTAATAGCCTTCCCCCCACTCACACTACATCAGATGAAATAATGAGCATATGAGCATCTCAAATTTCCAACATCAGATTTATAGATTTATAGTCTGAAGCTTTAAAACTATCTATTCATGATATATTTTTATCTCTGTATTGGTTGTAACAAAAGGTAAATCACGGACATCTTTTTGGACTACAGCAGACATTGCTTGAATCAGAATAATATATTGTACACCATCTTTGAATCTGTTAGCTCCACTTAAACCATCTACAATCAACATCATTTCAACCATCCAATCATCTGTATGTCACCCTAGTTAAACAATAGTTGCTTCCTTGTACATGGTAATGAAGAACATCTCATTAGTTAAATAGGTAGAGGTAAGTATAGTTTATCCTGGGATCACAGCAGACTGACCTGATATGGAACAAGAGTACCGCAAAACAGAACAAAATATGCCTGTGAATAGCCAAAACAGCAAAGGGGCATAACTCTTATTCAAATTGTCTAATCAAAACCCCGTTCAGGAAAACACAATTTCATATCATGGTGATTAAGCCTACCAAGTTTCATAAAGATCGACTGAAAAATGTTGAAGGAGATCTCCGGACAAGATTTCTATAGTGAAATAAACAAAGGGGCATAACTCTTGTTCAAATCACCAAATCAAAACCCCGTTCAGGAAAACACAACTTCATATCATGGTGATTTAGCCTACCAAGTTTCATAAAGATTGGCTGAAAAATGAAGGAGGAGATCTCCGGACAAATAAAAGTTTATGACGGACACCGGACAGCGCCATACCATAATACGTCAGTCTTTCGACGGGCGTATAAAAATTATCTCGGTCACATTGGCACCTGAGTAGGGGGAGATACTGGATAGTTTGCTTTAATAAGGCCAAGCATTACTACCTCATATTACCTCCAAAATCTTGAGGACAAGTGCGATCTTCCCTGTAGAGGATGTGGGTTGGTGGAGGGAGGGGAAATAGAGAGGAGTATTTCACACTGAAAGAGGCCACTTTCTACTGACTCTACTTGGGGCTCATGATCAATTAAACTATAATGTAGTAATGTAATAAGTTGCATTTCACACTGACTATATCTGGATACAGTTTGGTAATTGCTCTCTACCTTTTGAATGTTTGTATTCCCTTCCTAATTCTGTTTTTTTTGGCTAAACACATATATAATCCATAGAATTCACTATTTCCTAATTAAAACTGTGATTTCATATCTTAAGCAGTTTCATTGTTGCCATTTTGATTGAATTTTTGCATATCAGAAGCATGTCATTCTGCTTTTGATGGAATTGGGACTGACAGAAAGTCTGTGTTATAATGAACTTTAATGTAACACTACCAACAGATATTTGTTGAGGCAGTGATTTCCAGACTTACGATTGTCTACTATTGAGCATATACACATGTACCGGTACTATTGTTTCAGTACTCTTCTCACCATAAATACCTGTTGATTTTTGTAACAAGTTAAATACAATCGGACACCATATAATCATACACAGAGATTGCGTTTTTGTGCTATCTGACTCATTACCAGTCCATTTCCTATTTGTAATTCCTCTTTCCTTTAATTTTTAAAGGATGCCATGGGTACAAAGTTAAATGTGGAAAATTTAAGAGTACATATCACCTTACTCGCCTCTACTAATGGAAATATCTTTTTAGTTGAGTGGCAGAGTGTCAGACTAGAGATCTAGACCAATGGGTTGCTAGTTTAAACCCTGACTGAGCAGGGTGTTTTTCATTACACTTTCCTATTTCAAATTTGGTGTCATTAACCACTCTATGGGTAGAAGCTATAGGAATCAGAGCTACGGAACCTGGGTTGTTGTTGTCTCCAGGTCAAAGACTTTATGAAGGAGGGAGAAGTTGAGAGTGTATATTACCCTATAAGTACTAGCCTCGACTAGTGGGAATTTTCATTTAGTTGAGCAGTAGAGTGTCCAGCTAGAAACTGAAGGGTTGCCAGCTTGAACTTTCAACCTGCTGAGGCAAGGTATTTTTCATTATTCCTTCCTTTATTTAATTGATGTAATTCCAAAACCATTGGGTGCCTTCACAGATTGTCTACTCACAGATATAGGGCCTCAAGTTTTGTATGCTTAATTAACAATCTCTCCACTGGTGTCTGTACTGTTAAATATTAACAAAGGCCCTCAATGCCAACCAAATTCTTATAGTTCCATATCATTTCTCCTTGTAACTTACACCAAGCTATTCATTTCATAAACATGCATGGTGAAGTGTCTAGAATTTGATCTATAAGTTAACACGATGACCTATTGATCCCAGGATGCAAAAAGCTATTGTAAACTTCCGTTATGACTTCTAAGTAACTGCAAAATTGCAGATTATATTATTGTGATTCATATTTAAAGGCATGATTATTTAAATCCACCTGAATGTAAGTTTTATTCAATCTTGAAATCATCCTGTATACCATTAAATGATGGTTCTATATGATCTTTTTCAGTCACAAACACGTGATGGGCAGGTACTCGTGAAAAAAGTCAGTACCATCTCCTACTGGTGCTTGTTTTTCTGGGTTTTTTTTTCATCCTTTATTTTTTCTCCCACATATATAATCCAGAAAATACAGTTATTGCATGAATACTTCAAGTGTAGGAGATACAAGAGATTCAAATGAATCCTTGGAGATAAAGAACCTTATTAGCTGTGACTAGTGGGAACTTTCATAGAGACCAAACGGTCACTAGTTTGAACCCCAACGAGTGTAGACTAGTACTAGAGTGATTTTCATATTACCCTCTTATTACAAATGGCACATAACATCCCTAGTAAATTAAGCGTTTAATATATAGTTACTGTCTTGTTCTACCTATTTATCTTTTATAGTATTCTACCTGTCTTTTTTTATAGCGCTATTAGCTTCTTTAAAAATCTCACATTACATTGTACGAACCGTATTGTGATTTTCATTGTATAATGTCTCGTTAATAAATAATATCGTGCTACAGGCCTATTTTACCTGAATAAAAAATATCATACTATTATAATGTTTATCGATTTAGCTATATTTAAGAATAAATAACCGAACACCACGAACGACAGGACAAGGATGGATAACATTTTGTGACGATCATAAATATTTCCCGGAAATGACAGAAAAGTAGCGTAGTAAAGACGTACCAGAACCGACGATGGCCAATACTGAGGCTTCCCTTGAACATGAAAACAGAGGTTGTCTTTTCAAAGCGACGTATAATACGGAGACGATGAAAATTAAGATTGTTAAAACAATCCAGGACCATGTGTTGTCCATGTTTACAACTTGTTCAATGACGGTAGTCGTAATATCTTTATGCGTAGATGAAATAAAAATACTCATCTTATTATTTAGAATTATTAAGATAATCGTAGCTTGACATTTTTGATAACCAATGGAAAATATTTATCAAATCTAAAGTCGTAAATGAATGCCGAAAATTATTAAAACTAAATCACCAATCAAAGAAATAGACACAGTTTAAATTGTCCAATCAGATAACTCATAACAGAATTGTACGGGTAGTAGTTACTATGGGAATAACCAGTGCGACAACATGGCCGACATATCATGATTGCAAATAATCACAACTCTATGAGAACGGAATCTATCTAATTGCTAAAGATGACAGAAATTCTTTGTAGATGGCTCAATGATGAGCTGTCAATATCTCAGAGAGTCGGTGAGTTCAGCTTGAAATGTGACATTTGATTATGCAGATTGTAAATATTTTAATGTTTCATTTTCAGTTATCATTCTTCACTGCCTCTTTACTATAGCTTACTTCACAGAAACATTATCCTGCAGTGCACAATCTACCTATCTTAATTGAAGGCAGCCTGCAGTAATTCCAACAAGATGCCAATCTCATGTGAAAGTATGAAAGTGTAACAGGTTGGCTAAGCCATGTCCAAATAAAGACACGAAACCTGTTGAGAGTTCTGACCATAGTTTTCTGTCGACTAAAACAATATAACTACACTCTACATGAATATCAGACAAATATGACTAAAACATATTAGTATGGAACATCACTATCATTTAAATTAAATATAATACAATTGACTACAAATGAGTAACTTGATACAATATAATCATATCAAAATGAACTATGTCCAGGTAAATACAGACATATAGATTTATATAATAGATAATAGATACAGTACAAGTATGAAAGTATCTGCAGTTATGATAAAGACATTATGTATAAATAACCTTGGCTAAATTACCTGTGGTGGCACAAAGTTCGTCTACATTTTGATTTTGACTGTCATAAATGTAAAGTCTGCAAAGTTAAAAATGACATATAACTTTTAAGTATAAATGTAGACTGTAATTCTGATGAAAATATCAGAATAAAGTTTTAAATAAATGACATTCCAGCAAATCCAAATAGATTAATTTGAAATAGTGCAACATCATAAAGACATGAAAATACAGGTAAGTATAATCGTAATTACAATACCTAGGTTAAAGTGTCCATACCAATGATCAAATACAATAACAATTGGTGGGAGTGTGGCAGATATTAAAATAAATATAACCTTACTTTACTGGTTTGCAGGTATAAAGATTAATGTTACCAAAGCGTCCGATTAATCTGTCCGTCAGTCAAACAATGACCGAAACTTACAAAAACCGCAAAATCAAAAGAACCAATAAAATAAGACTGTGATGTAAGATAAAAGTTAACTGACCAATGACCACATGACACTATATAAAAAGACAATAATGAGACTAACTACTTAAGTATACAAGTGACTAATGGACAAGATATAGTATAGATGTAAACTAATAAACAAGATTTAACATTTACGGAGACAATACAATTCACATTATTTTAAAAGTCAATCCTGCCACAAAAGCATTACATGATTAAAATAGGGATCAATTCCACATGTCAGCTAGGGGACATATCACTGGGCTCATTGATTCAGAACTAATTAAAGAAAAACAAACTTTTACTTGAATGTAGATAATGAAGTATTGGTTTACATAGTAATATGTAAGTAATGACAAAACAAAATGTCAATGTATTCCACAGGGTTCAGACTATTTATTATCTATACGTGATTTGATTTTTTCTCACGGTCTAGAGTTTAAATTTTGAATGAACTCTTCTGTCATTTTACATAATGAAAACTCTTGGAAGATCTTGTAATGGTGGTCAGAAAACACTTTCAAACACTTTAATGCTTTTTTTACAAGCATTACCTGTTTTAGAAAGTATCGTTGCTCTGTAAAATGACTGCATTGCCTTACAAAAAAGGGTTGCACAGAAACAGTGTTTTTCATCTGTAATTGTTGTGGTCATTAACACTATTCATTTTGACATGATTTTGACTTTTTTCTGATCTCCATGAAGTGGTGGTTCAGACTATTTGCTTGTTTTCCAAAGCTAATATTTCAGAAACTGAGTTTTTGTAATACATTTAAAAGATTTCATGCTTCTGTTTTTAATTTTTTTGGTGTCAGGTAATTTATCTGCTCTAAGATAATCCACGTAAGTTTCAATCACAACATACACCACACATCACCAGTGAGTGGGTTGTTTAAAAGCCAATTAGTTTTCCCTCTGATGCACATCAGAAGGAAAACTAGTCAGCCAGTAAATAACCAGTTTACTGGCTGAAGTGACATTGGCTTTACTTTTGGTTTTGTTACTCTTAAGATAAATGACATGTGATGATGTGATCAGATGTTTCATGCCCATAAAAGAAAAAGCTATGTTGGACACTGACTGAAGTCTTCAGTATTGTACAGCATACCTTAGTTTGTGACTTCTAAATTCACTACTTTTCTAACATCTCTCTTGGTTTTTTTTTTTTCAGACCAAAAGTCATTTTCTCGAGAATTTTCTTCTGGATATCTGATAGGGGAGGTCTTACATAAGTACCAGCTACAAGATGATTTTGATCAATTTTCCCAAAACAAGTAAGTCATACAACACTTATATTATGTTTAGTTATGAAATAAATAAAATAGAAAAATTGTTTACCTGCTACATGTTTCAAAGAACCATGCAGACAAAAAAAGTATAGTTTTCATGTTAAACTTCGGTTTTGTTGAAATATACAAGTGCATATAGAATAAACCTTAAAATGATTTATTTGAGTCAGCTGTATTATTTCTCAAACTGTTTCAAAGCAAAATGATGTATGTTTTATAATTTTCCATTGCATGACAGGACTGCAGATTCAAAGCTCAATAATTTCACTCGTATTGAGCCTACCCTTCATCTTCTGGCTATACCATTTGATACCAATGTTGCACGTGATGTGATGACAGAAAAACATGGGGTGGCTACAAGGCTCATGTATCAACTTTATATTGCTCTGAATAACAAAAAGAAGGCAAACCTCACAGGTGTTGCCATGGAAACCATGAGGCCAGCTGCTCCAGCTAAACTGAATGCTGTGGAAACTGGTATCTATGTTGAGGTGTGTACAGTTTTAGTGCTTGATGATCATACACCTCAAATGGTGAAAGATAGACTGGAACCAATATCACATGATGTTTTGGTTGTAGTCAAAAAAGTAATGTGGTAATAATGATATGCCTTGTAGATGAACTATTAAGGTCAAATAAAAATAAGAATGGAGACCTTTCATTACTTTTTCATTTACCATCATAACTGAAATATATTCAATAATTCAGACTTTAGGCTAGGGGCAGATGGGAGGCAATTTTTATTTCTTAAGTTTGGAATATTGATTGGTCTGAATATAGATGTGATAGAGATCATAATTTATTTCAATGTCTCCACTAGGATTCGAACCCGGGACCTCTGTGGTATTAGTCTGACACTTTTACTGCTAGTATTTACCAGGGTCACATAGATTTATGTAAAATGTAACATTTGTATAGATATGTATATAGATATAGATACAGATTCTCTAATTATATAAGTAAATGACCAGAAACGAGTAATCTTTAAAGTGACACTGCTTGAATGACAATAGATGTATATGTCATAAAGGATGTTATTTCTATTTTCAGCGATTAAAACATGCCACCCCAAGACAAACAGATTTAAATTTGGAAGCCCTTGTTGACAGATTTCATGAAAAACAAATTGAGATGGAAAAAACAGCATTTAAAGACAGATTTTTGGAACAAGAGCGTATCAAAGGACAACAACAGAGTCAAAGAGAGGCTTTACTTAATAGGTCTCGTTTGATGAGAGAAAAACAGAGTGAACTTGTTGCTAAAATTCAGTAAGTGTTTTCATTCAGATATCTTTAGGACTGGACTGGTGTCAAGTTCTTTAACTGTGAATTAAATATTGATGAATTAATGAAGACATTTATGATTTTATATGAATAAAAAAGATGTTGAAAATCAGATATACTGTTCTATCAGATGCACTTGTACCAGATTGTATTTTTATAGACTACTAATTCAATCAAGTAAACAATGAAATAATGATTCCATCTGCTAGATATTCATTGAGTACTCACAATTTTAAGTCCATGATATGAATATAAGTATTCACATGAAAATATCTATGAAATCATGCATAAATCAGTTCTGCTATCCAAAGTTTCTTTTATTTTATATATTGATTTGCATGTATGCCCATCAAATTTTCTTTGACCATAAAACATCATTTGAAGATAGCTATCTGTCTTTGTAGAGCAGCAACAGTGCATATACCCAAACCTCCACCAGGCAAAACAGCTAAGGCCATTCAGAAAAAAAGGGACATGAGGAAGAAAAAAGAAGCTAATGTAAGTACGCTGAATGGCAGTGAATTGCTTTTTAATGCACTACTTTTATTTTTTAAGAAAATTCTTTTCAATTTTTGTGTATTTGTTTGAAATACAATAGAAAATGATATAATATATATATAGATTATAATATAAATGTAACAGAGTGTCAAATATCAGGCCTCCTTTGGCTATTTTGTCCAAAGATATGACAATTGATATTTTGACAACAAGACTTTTTATGATTTTACCAATGTCACTGAAAACCAGAAGCAAGCAGTGACTGATCTAATAATTTTCAACATCTCTGATAACATCGTTTCATTAAAAAATTTTGAGTTGAAATTTGCTTCAATTTACATTGAATATTGCAATTTGAGTTTTCTTTTATTTTGTAAACAGGAAACACAGCAGTCAATATTTCATTTTGAGGATAAAATGAAGATGATTTTGCCACCATCAAAGGAGGATGAGTAAGTTTTTGAAATATCTTTACTTTGTGAACAAACTATCATCAAACTGCTTAGGGCAATTTCGAAATAGTATTTTGGAAAAGATCATTAAGTATTTTCGGAAAGAGAGAAGCTGCATAAAATCGAAAAAAAATTGTAATGCATTTCTTCAAAATATGCACCATACCTAGTGTAATGTATGGTAAAATTACTAGATGATATAACATAAGATGTATTAAAAGGCACTATATTTAAGATTACACACACCACCTTTTGTAGAGATTCTATAGACCTGGAGTACATCATGGTGAGAGATGAGGAGAAACCTATGGCTGAATCAATAGACCTCATCAAACCAGCTTCAAATGATGAATACATTGGCAAGATTCGTAAGCGACTTCAAGAGGACCAAGCAGCCAGAAATGAGCGTGAAAAACGACGGAGGAAAGTCCTTGTTGACCAGCTAATGGCACATGATTCCCAAGAGGTGCGATATAGTCAAACATGTTAGATATCTTTTGTAATTTCAATGTTTTATGAAAAATGTAACATTGAAATATCTGTCTTATGATAGCTTCACTTGTGTCTATAAACAGGAGTCAAATCTTGAGTCTTTTGTTTATAACTGACTCTTAGTATCTTTATTTACATTAGATTTACTAACAGTTCTTGTTGATGTCTTCAGGAGGCACGCCGAGAAGAGATGCTGGTAAACCGTTTGATGAGACAGTCTCAACAGGAAAGGAGGATTGCTGTACAACTTCTGCAGACACGTCATGAGAAGGAAGTCATTCGTAAAAACAGGATTCTCCGTGAGAAACAGTATGAGGAGCGGCGTCTGAAGGACTTCGAAGATGCACTCAACAGAGAAGCTGTAAATTGATAGTTCATTGTTGTTCTCTAATTTTATTGGTGATATTTTCCTTTCATTTTCTTTGATTAAAACAAAGTAAAGATATCCATGTATCAGTAAGATCAAAATGGTTAAAGTTGCTATACTTCTTTGGTATAAGCCTCAAGTTAAAGAGCAAATAATGATCAGGTGAAAAAAGAGATGTCATAAATATGTCATATAACAAAAAGATACGGTACGAGTCAAGACTGAGTCAATTGATATATGAATACTGGACATTTTGAAAATGTCATCTTGAGAGAAATTGTTGGAAATGCTATCATGCTTTCTTCCAATTTGTTCGCAGGATCTGGCTAGACTTGCTCGTGAAGAATATGAAGAGCAAACTCGTAAAGATCAGCAAAAACATGACCAGATTGCTGCAGAACGTGCTGAGAACAAATACAGGAAGCATTATGACATGTGTATGGATGTTGTTAACGAGTTGGTAAACTTCACCTGTAAAGTTGGTGAATACAGAGAGCTCACTGATAAGTAAGTAGGCTGACAAGTTTTTATTATTTCCTCCTCACAGATTCTAATGATAATGAGATTCCAGTACATTTCTCTTTTATTTTCTCCTATCCATAACACATCTCTGACATTTATACTACTGGTATAGTGATATTTTTCTGGGAAATGTCAAACAACACTCTTTGAATATAAGATGATATAAGCCTTTTAAGACAAGAAAGTTACTTATTTCTATGACTGGCATGAGACATCACCTTTATCTACAAATAATTTATGACCTGCTGGTGTTATTGCTAGGTTACTACCTGCGAAGCTGATGCGAGAATGGAAATCCCTGTTTGTGGCAGGCAAACCTCTATTTGAGCAGGCTGCACCTGTTGAGTCGACAGAACCAACCCCAGAACAGATCCTGGAGGAGGAGCGACAACAGTTGTTAGATGAGGGTGATTTCATGGAGTATAAGGTAATTTTTGTGCATTGTAAACTGTTGCTGTTCTCCCCTGAAAACTGATGCTATATTGATAAATTTGTAGTATTTTATCTGGAGAAATGAAAGATTCTGATTATCCTGTACTAAAGGATTCTTTTTTAGTGTATTAGATATTTCTCAGGCCATAAACAAAATATACTGATAGGTATGTAGCAACAAAATAACAACCAGAAGTCACATTAGAAAGCAGATTGTGATAACAGGAACATTTTACTGTTCATCTACAAACAGCTGAATTACTATTTTATCTGATGATAAAGATTTTGTACTCTTTAACACTGTTGACTTTTTCTCACTAGAACATGACCGGAGAGTGGCAGCCCCCTGAAGGATGTGAAGTGACCAAGCCCCCACGGGACAACCCTATCATGGGCCACATTATACAGAGGCTCTTCAACATGGTCCATCCTCCAAGTGTGAGTCTGTAACTTCATTGTAGTAAAAACTATTTTGATAACAGTTTAGAATATCAATCCATCAGCCACATCAATCATAAACATTTTTCATATTGAAAAGTGTTGAAAGAGACTTATTACTGTTGTTATTTAAACTTTTACTCTGTTTAAATTCTGTACACTAAAAATTATATCCCTGAAATTATCAGATCAAAAATGATGTTTGGATTATTGCAGCCTCCTCCACCACCTCCAGAGTTCCCTCCCTTCCCAATACGTGCTTGCATACTTGGAAAAGTCTTTAGTGGAAAGTCTACAGCTGTGAAAAAACTAGCTGAAGGTAATCAACAATTACAATTGATATCTTTATACAGGAGAAAAAAATGTTTATTAGTTGCTTTTTGTTGGTTGCCAGTTTCACAAAAGTGAAACCTTCATATTACTATGAGAATGTTCTCATTTCATAAAAATTGGAAAAATGAATATTAATTCATTCATATATGCTATATACTAGGCAGTAATAAACTTTCTCTTTGTCCAATTGATATTTTCTGTGCATTTTGAAAAAAGATAGGTGGTGAATATGTAAGGAAGGAAGATAGCAGGTATTTAACATATGAAGTTTAAGGTTGCACAAACAAAATACATGTAGAAGAGATATGGCTTATATTATATATTATATTATTGGATCAACAGCCAGTACATTACATGAAGTTCATTCCTGTTAACCCACCTTGATTAAAATTTGTTGAAATGAAAGTGATAGAGGTCATTTTTCGTCAATTCACTCCAATGATATTTTTTTATTAAAAAATGCTCACTGGAGTCATTTCAAGTCTGATGTTTCATTGGTATATTTCACCATCTTTACATGTACATTCTCATGTAATCTGTTCGAATTTTTTTTTTACAGATTTCCAAAATTAAAGTTTTGATTCATAAGACTTAAAGAAATATAGCTACCAAAACTTTAGTTCTTTACATTATGCATTAATATGTTTGTATAGAACATCGCTTGATGGTGCTGTCATCTGATGAGTTAATCAACGAAGCAGTAGAAGCACACAAAGCTGGGGAAACTATGATGGTCGAGGTAGGTTCTTGTACAAAATGTTGTATTCTGAAACCTGTATTTCAGTATACTTTCTTGTCTGAGAAGAATTGTTTTGACAGAATTCTTATATTCTCTTCAGTTCACCATTATTACAATTTTCAATGATTTATTTTCAAATATCAATCATTTAAAACCTTACAAAGTTTCTTTATTTCAATCATGTAATAAATATTATGTACATATACAGAAATCTCTGTCACGGCTGGTAAGACAAATTTTGAAAATAATTAAATGTGAATTAACATATGGAAAAAAACTGTTCACTGAATTTGATTGTAGTACAAAAGCTCACCATACTAAATTTAGAAAGTGTATATATGTTTGTTAAGGTCTACTGATCAAATATTGTGCTGCTATCTACTTGCATGGAACTAGTTAACCTATTACAAACGTAGATGTTGGTGGGATTATTTTCACTGTGTCAGACCAAGTGATGTAACCATACTTGACTGTTATAGACTGGTATACCTACCTGTATGAAATGGTACCAGTATCTGCATCTTATAAATTGCATGGCATTTTTCGAAAAAAAATATAATGCACATCATATCCTTAACAATGATTGTAGATAAAAAGTAGAAGTGATTGCTTTCTGACATAGAAGCTTGCTAAAAGTTAGATAGCTTATTTTTTGCTGTGTATTCCATACTGATGTGTAGATGTATTTTGTATGTTTTGAAGAAGATATAGGTGTGGATAATTCCATTGATCTGGTATATATGATGAATTTTTGTCAGAGATACCGAAAATTTTTGTATCAAAATAATATTTGTCAAATCTTCACTACGGGATTGATCTGTAGTTATGGAATTGAACATCCTCACAGGAGATAGAGTTACATGATGTGATTTTCATTTAAAATGACATTTTAATAAAATTTTGTTTGGGTGATCTGTAGTCACGTCATTTACGTCCAGTTATCCTTTGTATCAACACTCTGTTTTGTAACTGTGGAGTTTGAACTGTTTGTTGTAGTGTAATTGTGTAGTATTAAAAATACATTCATACATGTCAATAACAAGTTGGTATGCTTTCTTGCATTTTTCTATTTGCACAAACTGTACCTGTGGTAACTAGGTCTGATATAACCATTCTTATTGTGTCGTAAAGTTTAAAAACAAATTGAAAAAAATGATGTCTATGCACTACATTGCCTGAATATCTTATTGACGTCTTTGTTTCCTTTACAATGTATTGATATCAATTATTTTCATGAGTAAATTGATAACTGATCATGGCTTGCATCTAAATTTGTTACAACAATTAAATGTAAATTTTATGTTCTGATTCAATTTTTTTTGAAATGTTTTAGCTATTTTGTTTAATTTCATCTCTAATCTATCTGTTTTAAATAGGAGTCTGAGTCAACAACAGTTGATGAGAGATCAGCTACAGACTTAGGAGACCAGCCATCAGGTAGATATACTAAACAACTTACGATCCCTTACACTATCTCCCGTTTTTTGTATTTTTCTGCCTTTTCCCCCGCTGTTTAGATTTATCATTGTTTGTTCATCACATATATATGCACATTGCGTAAAATAGATTTTTTTGTAATAGAAAGTGATTTTTTGTTTAAAAGGTTTGAATCATCCCAAACTTATACAATTCAATATAAATGTATAACATGATTATTTCAGAATGTTGAAGGCAATATTTTGAGTATTATGTAGGGAAATTCATACTGATTATTTGTATTGTTGTTGTAATTGCAATAGATTTTGAATGATTTTCTTATTTTGATTATTTCATTTTCTTCCTAACTTTTAACTGCTGTATGTTTACACCTCTACTTTGGTGACTAAATAAAATTTGTGAATTTTGATAGCAAATCAGAACTCATTTGTTCAAAGCTGATTAAAACCAAACTGGTTTATGATTGTTCAAATTGAATGTGAATTATACTGAAATGAAGATTTGAACATTTGGTCAGAAAAACGTAACTCACTAAGGAACTTTATCAAAAAATAAAAATCATTTGTTCACAGATGATGAAGCTTTGAACAATAAGGGTGTGGTTGTTAATTGATTCAGTGTCTGGCTAGTGGTACTAATTATTGGCATATATATTCATTTTACTATTAGTGCTAACATATTCCTCCTCAAATATTAGACTTTTATATTCCAAATAGAATTTTTTTTTTCAAAACATTGTTCCAAATAATAATGCCAAATTCTGATAAAGATACATACACTTGTATACAGTAAAATCAGTTATTGTCACTTCTGTTATTGCCTCTTATTGCTTAATATCATGTTTTCTCATAACACTTTTTTTTGGTGATGTAAACACTGTATGTATTCACAGGTTTCTTTATTGGCACAGTAGCCGTATACTTTTAAAACATTCAAACAAAAGGAATTTTGAATTGGTTTATTATTTTGTATGCTGGATAGATGTTTTGGTAAGCACAGAGAAAAGATATTTTGAATCCCAAAAGGAAAGGAAATGTTTTGTTGTCTAATTTTTTTGTCTGCTGGTAAGGTGTTTTGGTGAGCACAAAATTCTCTGCTGTTCAGAAAAAGAAAATATGCTTCAATGTTTTGAATTAAAGAAAAAATGAAAATAAAACCAGAAAAGCTTTACAATATTGTGCTAATGTGTAAATACCGCTGGACTGATCACTTATCCCTGTGGTGACACTGTTATATATTGTGACTGCACTAACACATGTGTACCCATTACCATGCTTTGTCCAGGAATTGAGATTTGTGTTCGAGCACCAACAGGGGAGGGAACTCTTGAGTACATAACCCACCACGCTGGAGGTATATGGGCACGATTTTATGTGTGGAAATCTCTCCTTCTTTCTGACTAGTACTAACTGTCTATATATACTCTCCCATATAGTATTACTTCTTTAATAGTATGTATATATCACTGCATGTTAGACCCAATCTTAGTTATTAGGTCTTGTATAATTAGAAATATGCATGTGTAGGATATTTTCACACAGTTAAAGCATACCATCAAAAAAATGATGTCCACAACATTCCACACCAGAAACAATATATCATATATTCAAGATCCTATTGGAGTGATCAAAACAGGAAATTTAAAACGTCCATATGCAGTAGTTGTATTACATATAAATACCGTAGTGATTACATGGTTTGTTTAGCTGTGGGTATATTCTATCTATTGGCTGTTAGTTAAGCTGTATATTGCATATTTCTAGTTATATGGTTTAATTTATGCTGGCTCAGTTAAACAACATTTTCTCCATACATATGTTCCCAAAATGCCTTTCTGATTAAAATTTTTTGCGTGACATCTGATGGCAGTATACCAGCTAGGTTTTAACATCTATGTGTTCTGTACCTGATAATCTGTCAAACTTGAGCCACCCAGACATGCATAGTGAAACCTACTTGTCTGATCACTGTGTAAAGTGACATCCTATATAACAAACTTCTTGCTGTAAATGTTGTCATCCTTCTAGTGAATATACAGATGTTCTGTATATCTGACTGATATCGTTTGTCAGGTGTGATATTAAACATGGTTAACATACCATTAAATATAGTATCAATAAATATGTTGTTGGATCTGAATCAGAACTCTAAATCTTAATAGGGAATTACATCAGGAAAATGGTGTTCAGTAATGGTTAGATAGTAAATAAAATTGAGACTGAACTGGCCCTGGTAACTGAGCTATGTATAGTCCTTCCCATCATATCCATTGTATGCTCTTCTCTCTGCTTGTCTGCAATCCAGCAGATTATTTTTTTCAGAATCAGCTGAAATAACTGATTTTTTTCAATGATCACAAAAGCATGATTTCATAGCTCATCTCCTTATCCATTAAAGCTTGGTATGAAAAAGTTAACTTCACGAAACATGTGAAGCAATATCTGTTGTGTTCCAACATGAATTGAACAAGTGACTTCCTCCAACCCCAATCCCCCCTCCCAAAAAAAACAAAAAGAAAAATGACGGATGATCATTTGTCGTTGTTTGTTTGGTCCCTTGAGCAAGTTATATTTCTTAAATCTATTATCATTTATAACTTCATCCCATGTTTAACCGCTGTCCTGTCTAGATATGACCTTTCATAATTTTCAAATTGAAGATCATATACTAGTAATGATTTTGATAAAACTGGAATTTCCCTCAAATTAAGCTATTCATTGGTTCATAAAGGTTGGTTGTGGTGCATGTCAGCTACTGATAGAACTGCATGATCTTTTTTATTACAGTATACCTATGGTGATGGTTTACATAGATGCTGTAATCTTTCTTATATCATGTAGAATTTAGAAATAAGGAAAACATACATACATTTTTTCTCTCTCTATATTGGTAGCCAGGCGACAGGTTTACTCAAACAGATAATAACAAACCATAGGCAGAAGGTAGATTGTGCTGATCAAGTAAAAACAGTCAAAATAGATCGATCTAAATATCATAGTTCTGTTGTAAGTCTCAGTCAGGATCCTGGCTTGTTTTATGGTTGACTCGAACCCATAATTCTTGAACTTTTACTTCAATTCTTTATAGCACTGTTTTTCAGTGAGCATTGTAAGGATCTTTCAGTATTAAACTCTGTTCTCCATGGTGCCCTGAACTGTGTATTACTCTTTGGATCTGATTGGTAACAAAGATGTCCAAAAGTCAGTGTTTTTGAGTTTTCAGGTTTAAAATTTAGCATACAAAGGGAAAGAAGAGATAAGAAAGGGTATTTGTATAGAAGATCATAACTATGATATTGAGTGACAAGATCCATCTGGGATCACTTCTTGTTCTTGACAAGTATTCAAAATTCTTTTACAAGGTTCAATATTAATAACTATCATTAAGGTAATCCTTTACTAACACAACATGAAGATTGTTTTAACTAGTACATTGTACTTTACTAAACTTATGTTATCATCATGTTTTAACTAGTACTTTACTAAACTTATGTTATCATCATGTTTTAACTAGTACTTTACTAAACTTATGTTATCATCATGTTTTAACTAGTACTTTACTAAACTTATGTTATCATCATGTTTTAACTAGTACTTTACTAAACTTATGTTATCATCATGTTTTAACTAGTACTTTACTAAACTTATGTTATCATCATGTTTTAACTAGTACTTTACTAAACTTATGTTATCATCATGTTTTAACTAGTACTTTACTAAACTTATGTTATCATCATGTTTTAACTAGTACTTTACTAAACTTATGTTATCATCACAGCACCAACTGACCTTGATGCATCTGCAGCAAGCTTGGGTGACAAACCAACAGAACCTCCATCAGAAGAACCAGTTGTTACAGAGGGTGATGCTGCTGCAGAACCAACTGAAACAGCACCAGGTGCGGAGCCATCTGCCTCTACCGAACAGGTTGATGCAACCAAGAAAGCCAAGAAGCCAAAAGAGAAGGCAGCCCCAAAACCAGTGGTGAGAAATAGTGTAGAAAGTCTATCCTCAGTTCTTCAATCTTGAAAAGATCCTCTAACTTTGTAAATGCAATTTTAAATCAATTTTATAATCTTTTGTGAGTTTTGATTCCTGTCATAGCACGTAGGTGACTTGCAATGTAAATAAGGGATATTTCATAGTGTGCCAATACTATTTACATACTGTGAAATTATTGATTTTTTTGAGAAATTAATTTTGTTGATTTTATTGAGCTATATTTATCCATGAATTCAAATGTCCACAAAATGGTATTTTTTTGAAAACCGTGAAATTGAGCCCCGTGAAAAGATTGATTTTAGAGTACATGTATATATCCTGGATCTTTGTATGTTTTACTAGTCAGCTGTACTTTGTATAACCTGTGCTCCCTCCAACCTGTTATTTCATATGTAACTAAATCAATTTTTTTTTTAAAAAAAAATTATGAAATAAAATTCTTAAATTGATTTTATTTGCTATTACAGCCAACAAATCGTTCCAAACTTGGAGCGAAGGCATTGAGGTATCTGAAGAGAGGTGCCCCAATAGATGATCAAATCATAGTGGATATTTTGGTTGACAAAATCAGGTAACAAGAATGACTACACATTTCCAGAAAAAATTATGTCATCTTTACAAAATCACAAATCAGAGGTCCTATTGTGAATATTAGCCTGTCACTGTTTTAGAATTCTCCTCTATGGTGAGCAAAATTACATGATAAACTAATACAAGAAATCATGTACCACACTTCCATCTGTAAATCGTTAAAAGTGAATTATAAAGGGAAAGTTTTTGTTCATCAGTTTTACACATTAGAGTTGTATCTAATTATGTCAAGGTATTAAATCTGTTTCCAAATACTACCATACATGTGAATAAATCTAGATAATAGTTCTTTTAACAAAACATGTTTTGTATTTTCTTGACTTGGATCTAAAGATTCATTCCCTGTTTAACACAAGATGAATTCTTTGTAGGAGTATAAATTCATCAACACTATGAAAATTTTGATGTGAAGAATCTAGTGTAATATTGTATGTCACTGTATGAATATTATAGATACAAAAAATGGTCTTTGTCTTTTTATTGATAATGTCAAAGAAAAGTTTGGAGAATGTTGTTTGATGGACATTAATTGGGAAATGATCCATTTAGTATATACATTTTATCATATAATGTAAACATTGGTTATGGCAGAAACATTCCAGAAGGTACAGGCTGGGTACTGGATGGCTTCCCTGCCAACTACAACCAGGCTAAGGTGCTGGAGAAGGCACTCACTGGATTTGCTGCTGGCCAGGAGAAAGAAAAGAAGCAAGGCAAGCAAAAACGTTCAAGTCTTGTTCCAGACCCTCGACCTGCTCCGCCACCACCAGAACCCGCAAGTGGAATTGATGTGGTGATACAGTTTGACATCACTGATGAGCTTTGTCTCAAGAGGGCAGCTGGAAGATCTTGTAAGTAGAATCATTTTCATATTCTTAAAGAAATAGTTGAAGGGATAAGATATGTATTTAGAAGTTTTTGCTGCTGTTCAACTTTGACCCCTTTGCCCATTTGCCACAAAGACAATAACAAAGGATTAAAGAACATTGCTGAAGCCAAAACATTTTCTTTCTTGTATTTTAGGGTTTCTATAACATAAAGAAAAATTGATAGGAAAATATTCTTTCATGGGGATACCTTTCTAACATTTATACAGCTATGTAGACTTTAACAAGCATCATTTCTTTGTCTGGGACAGACTTGTACTCCTAACCATGTGAACAGTATTAATTTTAATCTTGTAACAACTACTTTCTGCTGATTCTCATTAACTATTGGCTATTTTGTCACTGAGAACTATTTTGGTGTTTAGATGCGCCTCAATCTGACGTGAAGTACCACCAGGAGTTTAACCCCCCACCAGAGGGGAGTGCCACAGGAGTAGGCAAACAAGAACAGGTGGTAGCAATAGAAGACCAAGCCCATGATCAGGAACAAATCCAGCACAGGTATAATTATATCATTTCTATAATGAAACATCATTTACACCTATATCATAGAACATCTATTCTGAAAAAATGTTTCTAACACAAATGAAAATTTTCGAAGTTGAAATTACACAAGACTTGTCTTTTTAGAATCACTCGTTTCCTGGATGCCTGGCCCAAACTGGAGAAATGGTATGTAAAGTTTGGTACCTTGACAAAGGTAGATGCGTCTCAAGGTGCTCACTCAGTGTATCTGGAGGTAGAGAAGATCCTTGAGGACACAATGAACAGGGTAGGTTACTCTGTTTAAACCTTTCTCTTAGATTTTTTTTTCATTTTATTCTGCCTTGTAGTTTTTCATGTTGCTATATTTTAGGTTACGTCCCCTTCGGTACTATGATAGCTCAATTTTTTCTCGTTTTTAGCTACAAGGCATAAAGGACCCAGAGAGCTCAGCTGCACCTGCTGAAATCATGGAGCCTGTTGAGGTTAAGGAGGAACCAGTGAGTAGAGAAAAAAATTTAATGGGGTAAAAAAATGCTGAAATGAATTCTGAATATCTAGATTATATGGTTGAAGAATTTACAAAGAACAGGAGAGCATTTTCATAAAGGAGATGGTTTTCTTATAGAATGTATTATTAACAGTCAAACATTTTAACAAGAGAATTTGGCTATTTAACAAAGGTATTCATAGTATGATTTATTTTTTTTTCTCCAAAGACATTTTAAGAGAAGGTGACCCAGATACTTACAACAAATATTTATTTTGTGGGAATGTGCTTCAGTTGACATTCATAATGTCATATTTTTTTCTATCTATATTTCTCAGCCACCACCACCACCAGAACCTCCCAAGGAAGAAGTTAAGGAGGAAGTGAGACCTTCCTCAAGGAAAGGTAATCAGAGAACTTGATTCTTCATTAGAATTATTTCGCTGCATCTGATGAAAATCCAATAATACCACCTTATCTCGTCATACATCTTGTAATTATCCTTCTTTCCTCTACATTATAGGATCAGGAAAGAAATCAGGGTCACGACCTTCATCAAAAGAATCAAGGAGCAAATCACCCAAAGACAAAAAGAGTGCCTCTCCTAAACGAGGAAGTGGCAAGAAATCAGAAAATGGAAGTGCCAAGAAAGGCAGCAGGGGTTAGTTTTCATATTAACTTTATTACTCTTTGTCACAATCTCTTTAGCTTCCAGTTTTGGTTAATTACTAGTTTCATCTGTTTATTAAGGATAACAAAGTATTAAGATCGAATTATGAAATGTATCACATTATAACCACATGTCTTTAAATGCAGGGATAGTTCAGGGAGCTAAGAACTATAGGCCTTTTTCAACATTCTGTTAAATGTCAAAAATAAGGCAGACCATCATATATAGTATTGAAAGAAAATGGAAAAATGAGTATTTGATCAATTTTGATTGGTCCAGGGCCCCTTGGCCCCCTCCAGGATACTCTTTGATATGTATTAGAGCTAGTATCATTCAAAATGAATAAACGTTACAAGAAGGGCATTGTATTTGAAGTACAAAAATAAAAGAATGACAATAAATCAATAAATTTCTTCAGGATCATCACCTAAATCTAGGACAAAATCAGGAAAGAAGGGCAAGACTCCTGAACCTGAACCAGAGCCAGAACCAGAAGAACCCAAAGGACCTCCACCCCCAGAACCAGGTTCAGAAGAGTGGGAATTTGTCAACCTCAAATTGGAAGATGTAAGTAAAGTGCCCCTGGAAGTTTGTACTGTAGTGTGGTATGATGACACTGGGCGAGTCAAAAGAAAACAGTTTAATGAGGGTCTCTTGTTATAAACTACCATAAAGATATCATATCTATTTGTTGATAAGCCCATGTCTGGTAGAATAAGCCCTCCAATATATATTGATTGAATAACAGACAAATGCTATTTCATATTACTAAAAGAAGCATTGCTCCTGATTTTAAGGGGAGATTTTATGGTGACAGGCTTGGCTTATTTCAGGATAAATATGGTAACACGTCTCCAGAAATCACCCATCAGATCAATATAGAATATCTGATCCTGGGCTTATTTCAGGATAAATATGGTAACATATTTGTCTCCATAAATCATCCGTTGAATCAGTATTGAATATCTGATCCTGGGCTTATTTCAGGATAAATACTGTAAATGTTTTTCTCCATAAATCACCTATTCAAACAATACAGAACATCAAATAATGCATTTAATTTAAAACACTACATAACAAGATTGTCATAATAAATACATTTGGCTCTTCTTTGGGGCTACTCACCATGTGTATACCTTACAAAAACATTCACATAACACATTAACTTCCTAATAATTTAACCTGATCCGAAACTTAAATGATAACATGTTATTATCCGATTGAACATGTAAAATTTAGTTATTATCTAAATGGGGAAAAGAATTTCCTGAAATTCTAATGGCCTTAATCAAAATGTAACCTGGAACAGGTTATGAGACCAAACCCTGCCACAGGGTAGGATCTTAATCAACTATGTAACCTGGAACAGGTTATGGTGCAAGCCCCTGGAACAGGGTAAAACCTTAATCAACAACTTAACCTGGAACAGGTTATGGGACCAACCCTGGAACAGGGTAAAATCTTAATCAACCACATATCCTGGAACAGGTTATGGGACATAAAATCTTAATCAACCACATATCCTGGAACAGGTTATGAGACCGAACCCTGGAACAGGGTAAACTCTTAATCTACGTTGTAACCTGGAACAGGTTATGAGACCGAACCCTGGAACAGGGTAAACTGTTAATCTACGTTGTAACCTGGAACAGGTTATGAGACCGAACCCTGGAACAGGGTAAATTCTTAATCTACGATGTAACCTGGAACAAGTTATGGTACAAGACCCTGGAACAGGGTAAAATCTTAATCAACTATTTAATCTGGAAAAGGTTATGGGACCAAACCCTGGAACAGGGTAATATCTTAATCAACTATTTAACCTGGAACAGGTTATGGGACCAAACCCTGGAACAGGGTAATATCTTAATCAACCACATATCCTGGAACAGGTTATGGGATCAAACGTTGGAACAGGAAAAATCTTAATCAACCATTTAACCTGGAACAGGTTATGGGACCAACCCTGGAACAGGGTAAAATCTTAATCAACCACATATCCTGGAACAGGTTATGAGACCGAACCCTGGAACAGGGTAAACTCTTAATCTACGATATAACCTGGATATAACCTGGAACAGGTTATCCGAAAGCTGACTTTCCTGGGCTACCCAACCCTTCAGAAGCACCCAGCAGGGATGAGACCGAACCCTGGAACAGGGTAAATTCTTAATCTACGATGTAACCTGGAACAAGTTATGGTACAAGACCCTGGAACAGGGTAAAATCTTAATCAACTATTTAACCTGGAACAGGTTATGGGACCAAACCCTGGAACAGGATAAACTCTGAATCAACAATGTAACTTTGACTAGGTAAGTGACTAACAAACCCTGAAACAGGATAAATTTTTTAAACAACCCTGTTACGTTGAACAAATGTAAGTGACTAAATCCTGAAACAGGGTATAAAACTTAAACAATGTAACCTATAAGCAGCTTATATGACTAAAATAATACATAATTAAATTTGTAACATACCAGGTAAACACTCACACAAATACATATGCAAAAAAGATTGGGAATAGCCATCAACAAAAACATGATGAGTAGCCCAAATACATGTTCTTAACAAAATGTAAAATTAAAACAATGGCTTTAAAAATACTAAGAAATATATACAAAGCAAGGGTGATGTACGGGGATGGTGGGTGGGAAAGTTTTATAACTGTCCCATGCCACTAAAAACCTGCCCACGTGCTGCTTCTCTCTACACTTTCAACACTTTTCTCTCTCTTACAAGCAACTGCTCTCATTGGTTGATTCTGATCACGTGAACTTTTACATCATACTAAATTTAGACACCCTACATAAATGTAAACAAACTAATATCTACCGTCAGTAATAAGTCTGTACTAATAACCTACATCAATTTATAACCTATACACCCATGCTTACACACACCAGCCAGCAAATAAGGATGACGATATGTTGTGTATAAACTCAAATTAAATAAATTTCCATTTTATACACAACATAAGAAACGCCATAGTTAGGGTTTACATACTATTTATTATTTAAAACACTACATAACAAGATTGTCATAATAAATACATTTGGCTCTTCTTTGGGGCTACTCACCATGTGTATACCTTACAAAAACATTCACATAACACATTAACTTCCTAATAATTTAACCTGATCCGAAACTTAAATGATAACATGTTATTATCCGATTGAACATGTAAAATTTAGTTATTATCTAAATGGGGAAAAGAATTTCCTGAAATTCTAATGGCCAAACGAATGAATTTTTGCTATGTGTACAGCAACAATGAGTGAGAGCCCCAAGAAGATAATAACGATAAGATGTATAAAAAATAATACTTTGAAAGACAGATACCTTCAGAGGACCTAATGTTTACACATGTTTCTCTGAGCCTGACTAACGACATTTTGAGATACTCTTATATACCTAGTGTAACAGTCAGAAGACCAACGTCCTAAAGTCTGAATCACATGATCTTCTATACCAGCGGCAGCAGCGGTAGTTGCTGCCCCTATCCTAAATGAATGGCCACTGTAAGGTTTGTCTCCAAGTCCTAACCTGTCCATAATTTGTTGAAGATAAGACAGAAATTTATCTCGGGATAAGGCCTCAGAACTATATCTGTCCTGAAACAGAGGAGAATCGGGAGTAGCCCCTGCACCAAGTCTAAAATTGTAAAGCTGATCCATCGTCATAACTGGACGAACCACATCATTTTCATGGATATTAATATGAACACCTTGTTGGAACACATCACATTTGGATTTCCTCAACATAAAAGTATAACAAGATCTATCTGGCGCTATACTGATGTCTTTCATGTATACACAACCTTGGTCATCGACTTTAGACCGTACTGTAAATTCACCGCAGCGAAGGAAACCGAAAAAAGCCATCTGACACATACATTGTAATTGTAAATCCATAAAAGCTGAGAAAACACTACCGTTCAAGAGTGAACAAATCCTTTCAAGTATATCAAATGTTATGGGCAGCCGTTTTGGTAATGACTGCTTGGACTTTTTCTTAATACCTCTCATAATATAAGCTAACCTAGAAGAATGACTTATCATATCACTGTGTCCTGCCTTAATATAAAAGTACCGAATTCCAGCCAGATACACCTGAATGGTTGCTGCACTCAGTTTTAACATCTGATGGCAATGAGTTACAAAGTACACTAACACCTCCTCAGAAATCTGAGGTAAAGCACCAGTGAATGTCACACCAAACATAACAGCAAAGGACAAGAAACACTGAAGACCAGACGAGTAAGCTGTCCTGGTATTTTTGTTGATGGATGCTTCCCATAATTTGTCCACTGCCTGTCCTAACACAACATCAAGTCGCTCATGGGTAGGCATGCGGTTGGTGTTGGATCCGCATTGGGTGCTAATTTCCGAAATCTCTGCATCTGGTGTGACCTCCAGCCACACTTCATCCCAGATAGACAGACTGTCCTCTGGATTCTTGGATTTTTGTTCCTCAGGCTTCTGTTCATGCATTGCAAAAAAAGCAAGTGGCATGGCCAGAGTGGCGTGTCTCTTTAAAATATCTGGACTGTGTTGGCTCATGGAATGAAGTGTTAATCCACATGCCAATCTTGCTGACTCCTCTTCCTTTTCTAGGTACCAAGACCGTAGTCTGGAAATAAGTTTCTCTACACTGCTGTCCTTGGCAACCTTGACTAAATATCCTAATGCTGATGCGTATGCTTTCTTCACAGATAAATTACGGTCATTTATACCCGTCAAAAAATAAATTTCCATATATGCTAATGAATACATAACTTGATTCATAATTTTTTGTCCACAGGAGATTGCCACTATCCTTGCTAATTACTGGGAGTCTACAGAACAGACTTATGTCAAAAATTCCAAACATGTATTCCGTAAAGAGAGGGAGGAACGAGAAAATATTTATAGATATTTCCATCAAATTAGGTAAGTAATAAGTAATGATGATTAAGTTAATCATATAATTGGCAGTAGATATTTTTGAAAAGTTTACTGTTTATATAAAGGTGAAGATAAGTTTTCATCACAACCTATATCTAAGTGAATGATTTGAAATATATTAAGAAGTAGATCATAACTTTGAAATCCCCTCCAGAAAATCAAATCAACTGCTGATATGTTGGTTTAGATATTCAGACAAAAAGATTAAATTGGTCTTTAGATACATATATCATCTATCATTGAATTTTTTGCATCATATTCATTGTAAGTCATGAGGATAGAGATATTGTGGCATCCCCTTGGGCAGCATTTTGTGAACTTTTCTATTTCAAGTCAGCAATGAGTTTTCCCTTCTTCATATTTCTGTCTACTCATTGTTTTAATTTCATGTGTATTGTAGGAAAGATTTCTTGGCCTTCCTGCGGAGACCTGATAACAAACAGGTGTATGAGGCGCAGTGGCAGAAAGTAGGTTCATAAATCATACGATCTTCAACATACTCTTCTATGTAGAAAATCTGGATTTTAATTTTTGTTTGAAAATTAGTCCCAAAATAAGAACAATTTTTGACATGTGCTGTGGGTTTATCATGCTGTATATGTCATTGAACACAAGTTCTATCTATTAAATAGAATATGATATGTTAGTACTAAATAAGTGTTACCCATTGTATTATACTCAAGTTTTCAGCAAATATTCAACAAATAAATAAGGTGTGTTGATTTGATTGAAAAAAACTTAATGGCTAGGTGTACTAATATATGAAACCTATGAATCTTGGTCATAAAATTGCATGATATGTTTTTGGTACACAGGAATATAATGAGGTACCAGATGATATGAGAGATGATGAGGAGACAAAGACAGAATTACACCAGCGTGTAGATGACCTTCGTGAGGACCTCTGGTCGATCTGTGATGCCCGTAAAGCACAGTCAGAAGAAGAACGTGAGAACATCATCAGTGATGGTTGGCTGGATGACCGTCTGGGCGTGCTCAGTAACTACTACCTGACACAGATGCAGGCTGAGGTTGACAGGTACCAGGACACTGTTCGAGTGATGAAAGATTATTACCGTGGCATGGAAGGAACCATTCCTGATGAACTCAACGCTAACTACAGCAGGATACCCCTCATAGAGGTCAGTGTTACATTTGTTACAATACAAAGAGCAGAGAAGATAAGGATCATATGATTTTTTTTCAGTCATTTTTGTGTCGCCTTATTGAAGAGATTTACACATGTTCGTTTTCTTCTAGATGTCGTATTCCTAAGAAAGTGTAAACACTAAGCTTATTTGGTATTATGTTGAACCATAGAATGTACAGTTAGGTTAGGATATAAAGAGAAATTAGGATTACTTAAGTTAATTTTGGGGTGAAAAAAAACCATATTAAATTTAGGTAGATTTCCAGAATTGGAAAAGCCTTGAATGATATGTAAACACCTTCAAGGTACTTCCTGAATTTGTATGTCTTGAGTCTTAGCTGAATTGTATAGCCAGTATTGTTTTATATGAATTATATAACTAGGACGTAGGAGAATTATATAACTAGGATGTAGGAGAATTGTATAACTAGGCTATAGGATAATTCTATAACTAGGATGTAGGATAATTATATAACTAGGATGTAGGAGAATTGTATAACTAGGATGTAGGGGTTATGGACATTTCTCTACGAAGATGTTGCCTATTGTTGATACACAGCTGCCAGTAGACCGCCCTGACTCCCCTGACAAGGCTGCCAGTGAAACTACCCCTACCCCTCCAGCCCAGGAGGAGCCACCCCGAACACCCAGATCTGGGGACCGGCCTCGTTCAAGCCGATCCAAGTCACCAAAGGAACGGAAATCAAGAACACCTTCTGGAAAGAAACGTGACAAGAGTAAGGAAAAGAAAACAGAATCTGCTGAGCCTACACCAACTGAAGAGACTGGTCGTAAAAGGTAGAGCCAATAACTCTACACCTAAACAAAAAGCAAAGTTTGGATACATGTACATGTACTAATGACTTTCTTTCTCTTTCATGGAAAAAATCAGATTAAAAATCTCTGACCCTTCAAAAATAAAAAAAGTGGGCTTATTACAAAACCATGAAATAGTATTTACTGGCAATTCTTTATACTGAACAACAGAAGATATGGCTGGTTTTGATAAATACATATCCAGATGATGCATGGAAATTACAAAATTGTCAATTAGTAATATTGATCTCTATTGATAATTTTTTTCTTTCATGGCCTGTGATTAAAAAAACAACTGTGAAAGTGATACATGTAATCAAATTAAAAAAGAAATTTAAAAATCATAACTTCCCTGTATCACTACAGAATTCCACTGGTTCCCCGGCGACCAGTATCACCAGATGCAGATGCCAAGGCTGGAGGAGCCTCGGGTAAGGACAAGAAAGACAAGAAGGGAGGAAAGAAGGATGAAACAAGTGGATCAGAGAGTCCTGCCCCTCCCATGGATCCTGATGAGAAACTCATCTATGATGCTTACCAGACTGGGGTTACAGGCTTGGGTCAGATTGTAAGTGTTGTTAGCCCACAAAAAAACCCCAACTTTTTGGGAGCAACATGGATCATATTCTAGTTCGTTAGGGAAAAGTTTAAGAACACTGACATTGAAACAATAAACTGTAGGTAAAGGTTCCTTCAGGACTGTAATGTATGAAGATTTATATCTACACAGTTATTGGTGCAATACAAAGGACATTTTATCATTTGATTATCCAGGATGTTTCCAAACTGAAAGTACAGCTCTTTGATATACATGTACATGGGGGTAATAAACAGTGATGATAATTTGTATTTTTTTTTCAGCTCCAAGCAGAATATGCTGCCAGAGAGGCTCAAGAGGAGGCAGAGAAGAGGAAAGATGAAGAAAGAGAGCGAGAGAAGCAAGCAGCTGCAGCTGCTGCAACCAAAGCCAAGGGTGCAAAGGATAAGGGAAAGAAGGGCAAGAGTCGCAGCCCCTCACCCAAGAAAAAGAAGGACACGGACTCGCAGGCCACTCCCACACCTTGTATGTCACAGCATTATGGGATATATCAAATGTCAGAGTTCAAATTGTCAATGTGTATTTGTTGTTACATGGCTTAAATTGGAACCTGGTTTGAAAGTTATTATATGAATTATGAACTTTTTATCAGAAAAATTGAATGAATAATTACTCAAATCATTGTATGATGCTACTACTCAGGTATCTGATAATACGTTGGATGTATTTGGCAACAAAATGATAGATAATTCTCTTGAGGAAATATCAGTTATATTTCCACACAAACATGGCTAGGATAGCAGATAGTACTACAAAGTGGTTTCTTTTGGCATGCTTTGTTCAATCTGTGAGCCTGTCTATTGATGTATTTTACAGCGGAAGACCTTAGTGAAGAAGATAAGCAGAAGAAGGAGACAAGGGAGAAGATGAGAGAGGAATACTTCTTTGCTATCCAGGAAGAAGGTTTGATTCATTTAATAAATAAATAAAAGAGCAAAAATCATGAAGATTGAATATTGTCAACTTATTTTATGACTAATTTTGTCTGCTGTCTGAAGTTACTTTCATGGTGTGATTACCTCGTGATGTGGTACATACAAACGACTTACTTAGTTATACATGAAATTCAGTGTGTAGTTGACATGAAAAATATACGGAACTGTCTCATTTTTATTGGATTGCTTAACAAGAATCTTTTTAAATTCTTTAAGATCAGATTAAAAAATTGACCACTCTACATGTACATTGTATATCTCTGTTTGAAATATCTTATGTCATGATTGGCTCTGCTGCTAAATTTTGCAAAGATATATATTGCACATAAATAAAGTGCTGTATTTGTATGTACAGAACAAGCATGTAAGACACGTCTGGAGCTGATCAAAGCACATGCTGTTGGAGTACTACAGGACTTAAAGAGTAAAGCAGACAACAGTTACAAGGATATGAATGACTGGCTCGGTGCCAGGTTCCTTAAAGAGATGGAAAGGTAAGGGGTACAGAATTTCTATTTGATAAAAATACCTGGAATTTGCTTCATCTAAGAACACCTGTTTTATCATTCCATTTGTTAAATCTTGTTGTTCCTGAAAACACACTTTTTATTTTCATTTAGTCATTATATTTACTTTTTATAAAGCTTTTTGACATTGATGCTACCTGGCTGTCACTGAACAATTAATTAAGTTGTACAAATATGAACAATTGGTAAACAATGACCACACTTTGAAGATTAAGAATTGACAATAATAAATCATAAAGTCCATAAATATAATCATCGGTTTTTATATACAAACTTGTCATATGACTCTGAGACTTTTTTTAATGTTTTAGTATTGATCAGATGTCGGAAGTGATGAGAAATGCCATTGAAAACAAACAGAAACTGAAACAGGAACTTGTCCTCAATCAGGAAGACTTCCTCCTTAATGAAGGATTGAAGGTGTTACGGTCACCACTACCTCCCACTCCACCTCCTCCTGTAGAGTTGGCTACGGTGGACACATTTACGGTGGAACAACTCACCAATATGTACAAACAGGTAAGGGAACACCTCACCAATATGTTCAAACAGGTAAGGGAACACCTCACCAATATGTTCAAACAGGTAAGGGAACACCTCACCAATATGTACAAACAGGTAAGGGAACACCTCACCAATATGTACAAACAGGTAAGGGAACACCTCACCGATACGTACAAACAGGTAAGGGAACACCTCACCAATATGTTCAAACAGGTAAGGGAACACCTCACCAATATGTACAAACAGGTAAGGGAACACCTCACCAATATGTACAAACAGGTAAGGGAACACCTCATCAATATGTACAAACAGGTAAGGGAACACCTCACCAATATGTTCAAACAGGTAAGGGAACACCTCACCGATATGTACAAACAGGTAAGGGAACACCTCACCAATATGTACAAACAGGTAAAGGAACACCTCACTAATTTGTAGACACAGGTGTAAGATGTCAGTCACTCGAATAATTGTGTATTGTTTTACCTGAATGGTTAATAAGACAATAAATTTTATCTAATCATACTTTAGTAATAAACTGTTAGGGAATTTTAGATTTCTTTCCTAATATTCAGAAATTTGATCGACATACTTGTACTTTTACAGTTTACTGCCATAGCTCCAACAGGCGTCCTCTCTGCCAGATCATTCACAGAGACGTTTGAGAACATTGTGTCCGTAGCCCATGGAATGGAACAACTCCCTGACATGTGGATGAATATCAGTTCAGGGCAGGTACGACATAAACTTGTGTGACATTAATTGCCTAATGATTTCAGTTAGACTAAGATTTACCATTTAAAACAATTTTCCCTTGATTTATGTTTGTTTTTAATGTATAGAATATATCTTTTAGCATATCTATATGGAATTTTAACATTTTCTGGTGTTATCATTTCTTTGGAAAAATGTTTTTTAATGCTGAGAGTATATTTTAAAACTCATATCTTCGGGATTTTAACAATCTCCTATGCTATCATTTCTTTGGAAAAATGTTTGAGCTTAATAATAAACTTTGTTGACTCGTTTAAATTTCGTCCACTTTCTAGTATTCAAACTACTAATGTATCATTGTTTAGATCCAAGAGATAACATCTGGTCTGTCTGCTGATGGGGAATATGTTGACTGGCGACGGTTCCTCCTGGCCATTGCCCAGCCCATCCCTTACCCAACCCAGTCAGACCTACTAGAAACCATTGCAAAATTCAAAGAGATGGATCAGCGTGGCACAGGCAACGTCACGCGGGAACAATATGACAGAGTAGGTATCAGGGTAAAGAGATATGGGAAAAAATCTTAATAATATTAAAAAAAAAATCAGAAAAATGTTATGAAAGATTTGACGATTGATGTAATTATTGTGGTTGTTAGTATCTGTATGCTTGGTGTTAACATGTAAATTTCAAGACTGAGAACAAGCACTTAGAAATAAAAATTCTGTCTGCAGACTATTTATCTCAGATGTGAAATTATTCACCTCCTCTCTTGTTGCAGAGTGAGATTTGTGACAAGGATACCTAACCTTAACTAAACTTCTCAAACGTTTTATCCTTTACTCTCTTACAGTTGAACCTTTGGTTTGGGAGCCAGCCAGGTGATGATGTCTTCAATAGATTAGCCAATCTTAAGAGATGCCTGTTTGATTTCTTTGCTGATCACAGTCGCAACCCTCCTACACTGGACTATGTCAGCATGGTAAGTTACCAAATTGAGGGGGAAAAAATCTGTTATGGTTGCAGTATTGATATCAAAATAAAATTTACATATTTAAAGTGTTAGCTGCACTAGTGTTAATTCCTTTCACAGGAAATATAAAACCATGATTTCTAAATAAAATGTGTCATTAAAAAGGATACAAATTCCCCAAACAGTCTGTTATGTTGTACTGGGCGGTTTCTAATGCTTATATTGATTTTGCTTCAAATGAAGGAAAGAAGTAAAATACTATGTCTTGCATTCTTGTGTAATTCATAAGTAATTGCTTATTTTTTAAAAAATTTCTCCACAGTTAATGTACTTTGGTGCTTCGTCCCATGCAAACGAGGGATTCTTGCGCTCACTCAGTGTATCAGCAGGCCAGCACATGCCTAGACTGCCAAAACCAGAACCTACGGCTCCCAGTATAGCAGAAAGGTAACAAGACTTTTTCCGATATATTCTAGATATGTTTCTGTTTTACGAATAACTTCCTATTATTCATATCTCGCAGAAACTTCATTTTCAGAAGTACTTTATATGAAACATTGATATTTCAACCTCAGCTTCACATGGATTCATCGTAATCCTCCGTTTCAAAGTGAATTGCTAAAAGTCCAGTTTTACACTTATCAAGGTGTATTATACATGTATCAACTTGCACACATACAATAGTAAATAAGGTCCCTGAATTTCATCTTTGGTTTTGCAGTACACCGGATATTGTGGATGACCCCTCGCCACCCCCTCCCATCCCCACAGATATCCCTGCTGAAGCAATGGATGCCTTAGTTCCTCTTGAGGCTCTGTACCGTGTGTTCCACCATGGGGAGTCAGCCAAGGGTGACAGCCATCGTTTCAGTGTATGTGCTGACCCAGAAGATGCCACGTCTAGGGTAGGTGGTCAAGTGTCAGACTTACTGTTTAAAAACTCACACAAAGGCCCCAGTTTTTCTAAATTTAGCAAATCCCTTCTTTTGGAAAGCATTACAAAATTGAAGGAAAATGTTAAGAATTACCTTTACAAAAGGTGAGGAATGTTCCGGAAACTTGGATTAGACATATATACAACATATTTTCTGATGAGGAAATGAGTTTTAGGCAAACATGGATAATATTATTGTTGGTAAAGGTGAAGTTTAGATATCTCTTTTAATTATCAACACATGAAATTAATGAATTTTATGTATGATATAGAGAGTAAAATCAAACTAGAATGAACACTGATCCAAATACTTTTAAGGTTAATAAACATTTGAGATTGATTGTTTCTACAGGAGAAGCTGTCAAGTGTCTACCAGGAACTTGGAAGTGATAATGCTGAACCTGTCCCCTTTAAGGTTCTAATGGAGCACCCCCTCATTCAAGACATCGTTAATGCCTGTAGCACATTCAAAACACTGGTAGGTATACTAGAAAACCTTGTGATTCTTGTATAACAATAGGTAGAGATATTTTCTATGGGAGTGTTGATTCAGTCACATGTAAGTATGTGAAAGAATTAAAAAAAACTTTGAAAAAAATTGATTGGTTATGTAAAAGCTTATGGTATTTCCTTGTCTTCTTATAAGCTCAGAAAATTTTTATTTTTAGTCTAGAGATAATTTATCATGGATCAATATGGTTAACATTTTAAACTTCTTTAGAAACCCACAATTTTCCTTGTAAAACATCTGTACTACTTATTGACATATTTGCCAAACTTAATGGTAATTCTTTATGAAATTTTGTTTTTTTCAGGATATTAAGGGCATTCTGTCCAACCCCCATCCAGATTTGGATCTCCATAGCACCAAGACTATGGAATAGGAAATCAGACTGGATCAAACTGGGTCATTCAGACCAAATAAATGACATTTGAATATGTGTGAAAAATACCTAGACTTTCACTTGCAATCAAACAACTTCAAGTATGATATTGAACAATGAATTAGTAATGACTTCAATGACTTAATATCAGTAGAAATATTAGATGGAAAAATCCCAGAATTGTTTTCCTGTTCTTCTTTAACAAGTAGTCATAATCTCTTCTAAAACATTAAAGCTGCTTTATTTTTGCAGAATATTCTTCACATGTCATGCAGTAGGATAAATTTTTATCTGCCAACACCTCTGCCTCCATCATTTGTAGATTCACAATAGATACACTGTAAAAACCTTACTGCATTTACATGGTGTGGCCATTGATTGGCTGTGTGTTACTTGTGTCCTGAAGCTGTTCCTGTTGGACACTTCTCACACATACCAGAAGCACTGCATTTTTCTCTATTTAAAGTCCATAAACCGTTTCTTGTAATACCTGGATATTGGTTGTGATCTAATCTAGTTATCTCCCTTTGCCCAGGTACCGTTAGCAAGTTGTGTTTTAGGACAATTTACTATTGTATATAATTTATATTATTAATATTTTAGTTAGAATTCTTTTGCTTTTGCATAAGTGTGGTAACTTTCAGTAGTTTTTTTATTTTAACATCATCATTAAGTGGACAGAGTGCTAACATATTGGTTAAAAAATACGAAGGCTTCAAATACAGCTGCTCTCAGCATAATTTATATAATTTCTGTGAGGAATTTATTTTTAAACTTTTTCATTTTCTGTCTGCTAAAGTAACATTTCATACATCATGTATATATATCATTAGTATATATTTCCATCCAGAGATGCTATTTATAAATTGATTTGTACTTGTAATAAGTTTTGACTGTGATAAATAGTGTTTTCACTAAAAAAAAGTCTATCATTTTATCTCTTTTGAGATTGGAAATAAATGTGATGTTAATATTGATATTTTAAAGGAAAAAAAATTGTTATTGAATAAATCAAGTAAAAATCAATTTCGTTTTTAAAGTTTTTATTGGTACAAGGAAGTTGGTGGTTGGGTGGCACAATGGTAATGCATTCACCTTTCATCTGGGCGTCTGGGGTTTGATTCCCGAAATGGATGTGAAAAAGTATGAAGTCACCTGTCTTACCATGTGGGTTTTCCTTAAGCACTCCAGTTTCCTTCCACAGTAAGACCCTTTTTGTATTTCTATCCGGGTCAACAAGAGTGATTAATGTAAGTTAGATTAACTTGTTTTGCAATTGTTGTAAAATAAAGGGTATTTTTCTCACTGTACTTTATATGATTTAGATATTATAATCATATAGGACATTGTGATGGATTTTTTTCCTTTAAAAATCCTAAATTTCTCATAGCACAATACCTTACTTCAAACATGTAGCTTATAAGGTTATTGCAAGATGGTGTAATGTCAGAGAGAACCAAAGTATGATAGTACTGGAGTAGGGTCTCGTCTGCAATTCAGATAGTATAGTGATAATATGTAAGGGTGTCCTTCAGGAAACGTATGAGGAAATGAGGAGTGGTAGTGAGCCACAAAAAGTTAGGATTAGAGACCTTGTCAGTGGTTTTGCCTGATGAAGTTGTAGTAGTCTTGGATAGTGTGTGATATGGTGGTAACACACTTGCCAAATTCACATTGCATACTTCAGTCTGGGCCAACAAGAGGGGTTAATATCACCTAACAGCTTGTCCTGCTATTGTCTGTTATGAAATAAAACATAAATTTACAGGACTTAGGTCTTGAAACCTTTACTACTATCATATAATGATGAGTTATATCATGAGTTAAATTTAAAATAAGATGCAAAAAAGAACAAAGTAACATGATGACACAGCCTTTCAAGAAGTTCAAGAATCTCTGCATAGAGTAGGTCAAACCTAATTTCAGTTCAGACAATGCTATTCTTAAAAACTAACAGGTACCTCAAATAGCACATGGCAATTGCAAGTATATCTGAGTAGTGTAAATGTGATATCCCCCATAGCACAAACAGTGTCACAATAGATCATGATCCTCTCCTCTTGCTTTTGTTATGATATATCCACCAGAAAAATGCATGTGAAAAAAATCTTGAATTTAAATTGAAAGACAAATATCACAGAAAATTGGAATGATGACAAATGACTATTTAATTGAGTTAATAAATATCATGTACAATCAAGATGTTATTTTTGTGAATGGCAGCACTTTTAAAGTTTGTTTGTAAAGTTTGATGTCAGTGACAGGTGTGGAATGACTCTGGTCCTCGTCAACAAAACAGGTTAGGGGATACATGTCTGATGGCTGCTCCTTCTGACCAGCAACAGTTGTAGATGACGATGGCTGGTCCTCAGTCTTCCCAACAATCTTATAAAGAAAGACCCTTCATCAGCCCAATACTCAATACAGAGACAGGAGATCTCCAGACAAGATTAACGTTATAAAAACAACAAGGGGCAATAACTCTTCGAAGTATAGTTGAATCAAACGCACATTTAAGATAGAAATTCATATCATGGTGATTAATCCCACTAACTTTGAAAGTGATCAGTTGAACACTATGGGAGGAGATCTCTGAACATATAACAGTTTACAATGTACAAACAACAACATACCATAACACATATTGTTAATTTTTGAGTGGCGTATACAAATCACAATTTTCAAATAGACGGAAGCTATTCCAATCAGAAGAAAGAGTCTAATGAGCCATTAAAAATTGCTTACCTGAAAACTGATCTTTCTGTGCCTGCCTTTCTCATACTGTAAATACCAATCCTTCAATATATCTAATGTCAAGGTGGGTAGTATGTTGATCTGAAACAAAGTTGACAGTAAATGTACATATTTCAGACTGAGATGAGCATATACACATCTTCATCACTGAAATTTCTCACAAATGCATCTTGCAGGGGATGATTATTAATAATAATGCCATTCAAACTGGATTACAAGATTCGTCGAAGTGCTTCTCAGTTATGATTTTAAAAATACCAGCATTTCTTTAGTTTCACTATTTTTCCCCTGAAGAATTGTGATTTTTTTTCCAAGGAAGGTAATATTTATATTCAGAGCCGGAGCAAAATCTCTTTTCTGACAGAAAACTTGTTTTATCCCAGAGTCAGGGTCTTTTTATTTATTTAATAAAAATTATATCGAAATATTTAGAATGCATCATACTGCATAAGAAAATCTCAACCACTTTCTTCAAATTCCTGAAATTTTCCACTTATTTTCATGAACAAACAATATCGGGAACATTCTACTTCAGAAATCATGATGTGTTGCTGGTACAAGTACATATGTCCTTTTTTATCATTATTTCTCTGTTTTCTTTTTGAACAAACAGAACTATGTAATCCTAAATTCCCCAATTTCTGAAAAATTAAAATTCTTCATTTCATAAATGAAAGTTCATAACTAAATATAGTGAGGTACTTGATTTAAATTCAGAACATGACACTCTACATTCCTAAAAAGTATTCACATTCAAAAATTTGGCAATCAAAGACTATATAGAAATAACACACATATAGACTTGATGATAATACAAGGAACAAAAGGGTTATAACTCTGCCTGTACAAATATATAAAGCCTGGCCCCACTTGTATAAAACATCTCAACTTGAGATTTCCTCAAGTCGAGATTTTCCTCAGCTGATATCTCCTCAAAAACGGTTTGTATAAAATTTTCTCAAGGAACAGGAGGAAGTCATCGGCTAGGATGTCCTGAAATTCCTTGAGGAATTTTCACACAAGATATTTTCAAGGAGATATTAGCTGAGGAAAATCTGGGCTTGAGGAAATCTCAAGTTGAGATGTTTTATACAAGTGGGGCCTGATCTTAACAAGCAATACTTCATCCTCCAAAAAAGTTACACTGGTAGGTAAGATTATACAAGTATACTATACAGATAAGTCAGTAGAAAGTGAAAGTATAGTTTTCTCTGATAACAAACATTGGTACCAAGACAGAAAATCAATATCCTGGAAATCGTATCATGGTCTGTGAGGGATATTGATCGCTGTGAGGTTCAAATATGAGCATGCACATAATTTGTTCCAAGAAAAAGAACATCCAGAGAAAGTGATCTCATGAAAATAAGATATATAGAAATATTTTATTATCCTATATTGTACAAATGGATAGTCCATTGTTATTGGTACATCAGAATTAGAAATGTACAATATTGCATACTTTCCCATCAAAAGTGATTTTGACAAGATCTTTAGTTTTGACGATTACCTCTCGCTCCAGAATATCAAAGATGTAGGTTTGATCATAGATCTCCCTCCAGTGACGACCAGCCTCCTCTCCAAGGTGTGTGTCCTCACAGCGTTTGTTGGCTATCACCGAGTCCACCTAGTGTGTAGACAGATACAATATTATAGACTAAGGTCATAATGCTTAAGAGAAATATAAACCAAAATTGGTCAAGTTCCAATTAGGAATTCTGGACAAAAAGCATTTTTTAAAAGAAAAAGTTGACAGATTGAAGAACACAACATCATGGCATAAGCTCACCAGTCCTATGGAACAAACAACCTCAAAATCCAAGTCAAATAATTATGCTCAGTTGTCATTTGTATTTACAACAGTGGTGAAGTGTGCTATACGAAAGCCTCTGTACTTACATGACAGCAAGCAAATGCTGTGTAATAATCAAGTCTACCCCTATGCATTGCTGTCTTTAAATTATACCAATGTTTTTTTATTGCCCTCCCCTTGACAATAGGTAAAAAGCAATGTATTGGCACCCTGGGCTTAACACACAGTAATAAAGTAACAATGTTAACTTCTGTGCATTAGATAAAAAGACTGTGTAGCTTCATATTTTGTTGATACTGAATAGTCCTTTACTGAGATTTAAAGTAAGTTTACCTTCGAACATAATGTATGTGACAACCAGGAGAGAAATGGTACATTTGACTTCAGTTGACATGAAAGCAGGCCGATACATTACTATAGAGACTGTGACATGAAAGCAGGCTGATACATTACTATAGAGGCTGTGACATGAAAGCAGTCTGATACATTACTATAGAGGCTGTGACATGAAAGCAGGCTGTTACATTACTATAGAGACTGTGACATGAAAGCAGGCTGATACATTACTATAGAGGCTGTGACATGAAAGCAGGCCGATACATTACTATAGAGGCTGTGACATGAAAGCAGGCCGATACATTACTATAGAGACTGTGACATGAAAGCAGGCCGATACATTACTATAGAGACTGTGACATGAAAGCAGGCCGATACATTACTATAGAGACTGTGACATGAAAGCAGGCCGATACATTACTATAGAGACTGTGACATGAAAGCAGGCCGATACATTACTATAGAGACTGTGACATGAAAGCAGGCTGATACATTACTATAGAGGCTGTGACATGAAAGCAGGCCGATACATTACTATAGAGGCTGTGACATGAAAGCAGGCCGATACATTACTATAGAGACTGTGACATGAAAGCAGGCCGATACATTACTATAGAGGCTGTGACATGAAAGCAGGCCGATACATTACTATAGAGGCTGTGACATGAAAGCAGGCCGATACATTACTATAGAGGCTGTGACATGAAAGCAGGCCGATACATTACTATAGAGACTGTGACATGAAAGCATGTTGATACATTACTATAGAGGCTGTGACATGAAAGCAGGCCGATACATTATAGAGGCTGTGACATGAAAGCAGGCCGATACATTACTATAGAGGCTGTGACATGAAAGCAGGCCGATACATTACTATAGAGGCTGTGACATGAAAGCAGGCCGATACATTACTATAGAGACTGTGACATGAAAGCATGTTGATACATTACTATAGAGACTGTGACATGAAACTGTGACATGAAAGCAGGCATGAAAGCAGGCCGATACATTACTATAGAGACTGTGACATGAAAGCAGGCCGATACATTACTATAGAGACTGTGACATGAAAGCAGGCTGATACATTACTATAGAGGCTGTGACATGAAAGCAGGCTGATACATTACTATAGAGGCTGTGACATGAAAGCAGGCTGATACATTACTATAGAGGCTGTGACATGAAAGCAGGCCGATACATTACTATACAGGCTGTGACATGAAAGCAGGCCGATACATTACTATAGAGGCTGTGACATGAAAGCAGGCCGATACATTACTATAGAGGCTGTGACATGAAAGCAGGCCGATACATTACTATAGAGGCTGTGACATGAAAGCAGGCCGATACATTACTATAGAGGCTGTGACATGAAAGCAGGCTGATACATTACTATAGAGGCTGTGACATGAAAGCAGGCCGATACATTACTATAGAGGCTGTGACATGAAAGCAGGCCGATACATTACTATAGAGGCTGTGACATGAAAGCAGGCCGATACATTACTATAGAGGCTGTGACATGAAAGCAGGCCGATACATTACTATAGAGGCTGTGACATGAAAGCAAGATGATACATTACTATAGAGGCTGTGACATGAAAGCATGAAACATGAAAGCAGGCATACATTACTATAGAGCTGTGATACATTACTATAGAGGCTGTGACATGAAAGCAGGCCGATACATTACTATAGAGACTGTGACATGAAAGCTGGCCGATACATTACTATAGAGGCTGTGACATGAAAGCATGTTGATACATTACTATAGAGGCTGTGACATGAAAGCAGGCCGATACATTACTATAGAGGCTGTGACATGAAAGCAGGCCGATACATTACTATAGAGGCTGTGACATGAAAGCAGGCCGATACATTACTATAGAGGCTGTGACATGAAAGCAGGCCGATGTGACATGAAAGCAGGCCGATACATTACTATAGAGGCTGTGACATGAAAGCAGGCCGATACATTACTATAGAGGCTGTGACATGAAAGCATGTTGATACATTACTATAGAGGCTGTGACATGAAAGCAGGCCGATACATTACTATAGAGGCTGTGACATGAAAGCATGTTGATACATTACTATAGAGACTGTGACATGAAAGCAGGCCGATACATTACTATAGAGGCTGTGACATGAAAGCAGGCCGATACATTACTATAGAGGCTGTGACATGAAAGCAGGCCGATACATTACTATAGAGGCTGTGACATGAAAGCAGGCCGATACATTACTATAGAGGCTGTGACATGAAAGCTGGCCGATACATTACTATAGAGGCTGTGACATGAAAGCAGGCTGATACATTACTATAGAGGCTGTGACATGAAAGCAGGCCGATACATTACTAGAGAGGCTGTGACATGAAAGCAGGCCAATACATTACTATAGAGGCTGTGACATGAAAGCAGGCTGATACATTACTATAGAGGCTGTGACATGAAAGCAGGCCGATACATTACTATAGAGGCTGTGACATGAAAGCAGGCCGATACATTACTATAGAGGCTGTGACATGAAAGCAGGCAAATACATTACTATAGAGGCTGTGACATGAAAGCAGGCCGATACATTACTATAGAGGCTGTGACATGAAAGCAGGCCGATACATTACTATAGAGGCTGTGACATGAAAGCAGGCCGATACATTACTATAGAGGCTGTGACATGAAAGCAGGCCGATACATTACTATAGAGGCTGTGACATGAAAGCAGGCCGATACATTACTATAGAGGCTGTGACATGAAAGCAGGCCGATACATTACTATAGAGGCTGTGACATGAAAGCAGGCCGATACATTACTATAGAGGCTGTGACATGAAAGCAGGCAGATACATTACTATAGAGGCTGTGACATGAAAGCAGGCCGATACATTACTATAGAGGCTGTGACATGAAAGCAGGCCGATACATTACTATAGAGGCTGTGACATGAAAGCAGGCCGATACATTACTATAGAGGCTGTGACATGAAAGCATGTTGATACATTACTATAGAGGCTGTGACATGAAAGCAGGCTATTACATTACTATAGAGGCTGTGACATGAAAGCAGGCCGATACATTACTATAGAGGCTGTGACATGAAAGCAGGCCGATACATTACTATAGAGGCTGTGACATGAAAGCAGGCCGATACATTACTATAGAGGCTGTGACATGAAAGCAGGCATTACTATAGATACATGAAAGCAGGCCGATACATTATAGAGGCTGTGACATGAAAGCAGGCTATACATTACTATAGAGGCTGTGACATGAAAGCAGGCCGATACATTACTATAGAGGCTGTGACATGAAAGCAGGCTGATACATTACTATAGAGGCTGTGACATGAAAGCAGGCTGATACATTACTATAGAGGCTGTGACATGAAAGCAGGCTATTACATTACTATAGAGGCTGTGACATGAAAGCATTGCGATACATTTCTATAGAGGCTGTGACATGAAAGCAGGAAGATACATTAAATAAATCCTGTGACATGAAAGCAGGCTATTACATTACTATAGAGGCTGTGACATGAAAGCAGGCTGATACATTACTATAGAGGCTGTGACATGAAAGCAGGCTATTACATTACTATAGAGGCTGTGACATGAAAGCAGGCCGATACATTACTATAGAGGCTGTGACATGAAAGCAGGCCGATACATTACTATAGAGGCTGTGACATGAAAGCAGGCTGATACATTACTATAGAGGCTGTGACATGAAAGCAGGCCGATACATTACTATAGAGGCTGTGACATGAAAGCAGGCTATTACATTACTATAGAGGCTGTGACATGAAAGCAGGCCGATACATTACTATAGAGGCTGTGACATGAAAGCAGGCCGATACATTACTATAGAGGCTGTGACATGAAAGCACGCCGATACATTACTATAGAGGCTGTGACATGAAAGCAGTCTGATACATTGCTATAGAGGCTGTGACATGAAAGCAGGCTGATACATTACTATAGAGGCTGTGACATGAAAGTATGTTGATACATTACTATAAAAGCTGTGACATGAAAGCAGACTGGCCTTGGAAAATTCAGTAAGTTTCTGAAGAGTGAAGAGGGCTGACTGACTTATCCAACTTTGTGCCTTAGACAACTACATACACTTGTAGATTGGTCTGACCTTAATCCAGATATTGATAGTGCATTATGCATAGGAAAGCAGATCACTGGGCTCTGTAAATTAATATCTTCAGTGTATAATTATAGGGCTCCGGAAATAGTGATGTCACAGAACGGTTGATCTATGTCACCTGCTGCTTAATGACATGTTATTGCAAATTGCACATACCATTTATATCTTCAGTAACAAAACCATTACAAAACATTTTTATAATACTTAACCGTGACGGAGTTCTTATACAAGCCCAACTGGTGAAAATAAGTTAAATACCTGCCTTTTTAAAGTTTAAGAAATCTGAACTGTGAGAATTTGAAAAGCATTATGCACTAAAAA